AATTAAAGTCTGTATGTGTTTTTCTTTGTGTCTGAAGTTTTAACACTGGCAGGCAGTTCTCAAAGGAGCTGGACTGTGTACTGAATTCATTTTCTTGAGTGTTGTAGGTTGTACAGTACGTGACTGATAAAAGATCATTCCTAGCGTTAAGGCCAGTCACAGCCCAAATAAATCTGGAACAAATTCTGAGAAAGCATGTCATGTTATGACTGGCATATCTGTGAGCATGGAGCTCTGCTTGAGAATTAGACTAGAAGTTTGCAAAGTGCTAGTGCTGATGTCACTCCCTTGGAATTGAAAGGCTTTTGAAACAGTAAATATTTCTGTGGCCAGAAGCTAAGTCTTGAGCCGGACCTATTCCTCTCTGTGAAGGAAGGAATGCAGAGCAAATCTAAAATGTGTATTTGCAATGGGAAAATCGTAATTAGTTTAGAGCTTTTAGCTATTTCAAAGCATTTACATACACAGCTGCTGTTCATGCAAGTGTGAAAACTATTCATGGAAACTTCAAACTCACCTTGAAATGACAAGTAATTTTTTTTCCTATTTTTTAAAGCTGTGCTTGGTGTTCAGAAGTATGGTTGGAAAGGACTGAAAATTATGTTTGTACTCTACGTGCAGAAAGGAACATAGACACAGACTAATGGAAACATATAATAAAAGGCTTTAGTTCAGAATGACTTAACATTGAAACCTTATTAGCATCAAACAGCTGCTAGGAAAATGTTTTGAGTTTTAGGGGCATTTACTCTTGGTTTTATCTGTGGAGTTTTGGTTATGACCCAAAACTCTGAAAAAAAAGAGAGATGACCAAACTGCAAACTTAAATGTTCGGATTTTATAGCTGGCTTCTCTGATACAAAAGGTTAATCTGAAATACTGTATCCAAATAACCCACAAGGAATTAGAACCTAATGCTGTAGCTAGGGACAGTTACAATAGCTTTTAGACACTGAGATCTACAGAATAACTGAGATTTTTGTAGTGTCCCTCAGAGGACCCCATTGAGCATTCACAAGGAATTCATCCCCACCCCCAGCTTCCTCCTAGTTGGAAGAGGTTTGCCATGACAGATGTGGGGAACAGATGTTGAGAGGAAAAGTTATAATGGGACAATGACCTGAAGTGTTAGTTGGGCTCTTCCTTGACGTGACTGAACTTGTGTTCCCGATGACAAAGGAGGAAAGCAGCGTGTATCCACTGCTTGTTTCTGCAAGCCCCAGTGTTAATGCTGGGAGAGTTGACATAGAGCTTTTATGTGTTCATGTCAGATACTCTGTGCTCAGTTAGCTGAGGATGAGAGAGGAAGGGACAAAGATTTAAAAGCAAATGAGCTGTGTGTTATTCAAGGACAGTTAGCACAAAGCGGGTGAATCACCCACCACCTTTCCTGGACAGCTGTAGGTAGTTTTTTCTGAATTTTAGTCTCCTGTTTTACATAAGGATTTCCTCTTTCCTTCTTCCTGTTCTTTCCCATCTCTTCACCACTGCACCTGTGATGTCTGGGAGATGTTCATGTTCCTTGTCCCTAACTGCTCCAGTGAGCTAGTCTAGTAGAAGGGTCCTCAATGGCTGATGAGTAACAATAATAGTGAGCTAGGAAAAAGGGCCTTTAGAGCATATAGGATTTTTTTATCCCCCCCCCCCCCCCCCATGCTTTTCTATTTCAGAAGGATTTCAGGTTTTTGTTGGCTTGAGAGAAAGATGTTGAGCGTCATATTTAACTTGTTATGAGAGGGGTTGGCAGGTAAGACTACTGGGGAGGGACTCAGAACATGTCCTCTTCACTTTAGCTTAGTTTAGCTCAGGAGGCTGTGAATAATAATTATATTTATTACCAAAAGCAGATCAACTATCCATAGAAGCCTGAGAATTTTTTCTAGCTCTTGGAATGGGAAACTAAGTATTTGAAATACTGTAATAAGGTGACAACTCTGTGAGCTACTTTCTCTCTCTCAAAAAAGCTTGGCTTCAGTTTTATTAACAAGTTTTTCCATGGGGCACTTTTGTGCTGGTTTTTTCCTAATTTTCAGAGGTTGGGCTTGATGACCTCTCTTGAGGTCCCCTTCCAACCTGAGCTATTAGCTGGTGCTATTATAGACACCATTCATGTATATTTACTGCTTCCTGTATTTAATGTTACATTTACTCATATTTTCATAGGGCATTGCCTATTCATGGTGGGTTTTGTTTCAAATTCAGTGGGAAGCTCAAAGTCATACACTGTCCTTTCCATACAGTTCTGTTCTTTCTTTGCTGTTTTTCTTGTAAAATGATTCATGGCATTAGCAAATCAGCAACACAGGTTGCATCGGCTCTGTAGGTGTGAAGAGGTTGGAGTGTGCTGCATGTGCAAGTGACCACGGGGGAGGTTTAGCATGGGGGGATATCTGGCATAGTTGGTCAGCATATCTGCAACATCTGACCCATATTATTCTTTAGAGAATGTGATGAAGCACCCATTCATATATGTATATATATTATTCATCAACTTCAATTCTTAATTTATTTGCACTCACAATGTCACCTTAGGGTGTGTGTATGTCCCGCTACCTCTTTCCCGGTCCCCAAAATCTTTGAGGACATTTCTATTCTTCCACTTCAAGATTACCTAAATAAACTCTTTGTGACATAAATGTCCAAATTGTCCACATAAATGTCCATGTGTCCTTAATAACCCCAGATTTCAGTCTGTCTGGTACTCAGAGCCTTCTCCTTTTGAATAAGCCATATATTTGGGGAGCTAATATAAAAGATATCCTTTGTAGGACTTTTCATTGAAGAGTCTGATTAAAGTACATTGTTATTATTGTTATTATTATTGGTTTTATTATTTGGTTTATTATTATTTATTTGCTGAGTATATCCAACTCCCTTAGGTCTTAAAAGTCAGTTCCTGTATTTGGAGCAGTTTGAACCCTCAACCCTAACCTGTGAGGGTCAGAGGACTTAGTTACTGTACAAAGCAATCATTTTTCGTGGGAGCTGGAAGTGAGATTTCTTTGGGCTTCAGGGTTTGTTTTCCTCCCCTGCTTAGTGTAGCAGAGATAGCATCCTTGCTAGAAAGCAGAGAGAAGAAAGAAAATTCAGTCCACATGTTTAGGATTTAAGATTGAGAGTGATTCACGCTTAGCTTCTGGGGATTGTAATTAGGGGTGACATAATAACCATAAACTTTCAATAAAATAGTAGCAGCATTTTAGTTACGCTCTATAGCTGCAGAAGCTGCTTCTGATTAACATCCCTTCGAGATAAGCCTACAGGACCTCCGCAGTTTTCAGATCTGGATCCAGGCTCTTGTGGCACAGTCCTACTTCTGTACTGATGCTGAAGGGAACCCTGAATTCTGAAACACCCCCGACTTTAGTAACATTTTCACTTGGATCAGCATGTCAAGCTTTTCCTTTGCCATTTTAGACCATCTGTGTAGTTTTCAAGTCAGTATTGTTATACTGCCTAAATCCTGCCAGTTTATACACTTGACAATACACTCTAGGGTTATCTAATGTGGAAAAAAAACAATCATGCTATCCTCCTCTTCTCCTGAATTATTACTAATCCTTTTCCAAGTGGCTGAGACTAAAAGGAATCCAGGAATGCATGAAGCAGGAGATTTGTCATTCCCACTCCACACCAAGGTGCATTCTTGCAGGGAGAGATGGGCATTTACACTGGAGTTCTGCCATCAGCATTCAGCCAATTCTAGTTTTTGGCAGCCAAGCACATGGAATTTTGAAAAAGATGTACTTTTTTTAAAGCAGGTCACAGACAAAAATAAAGACACATTCTTGGGCTGCGAGAAGTAGGTCAGGCTTGGGGGAATCATTTGCGAAAGCTGTTGACCTATCTTACCAGTTTTTCTTTATGTTCTTTGCTTTCTATGCCAAATCTGTATGCTTTTTATAAAGAGCTCATTTTGCTTTAGATATGATGTATTCTTCTGCTTTGGTGAGCAAACTTTTTACAATAACATTTAAAAAAAAAAAAGGTAAAAGAAATACAGAAAAAAATATTTTCCTAGTTTTCCATTAGAGGATACTGTAGTGGAAAGTGAGGCCTCTCTGTGCTGCAGTCCAAAAGGAATAAAGCTGCTTTGTGTCACCTCATTACTCTAAGCTAATGTTTCATCCCAATATCCAAAGACTTTGGCTGGATGGACGGATAGGATGGGGAAAAGGCTGATTTTACTGCTCAGACAATTACTTCTGCATCGCCTTCATTGCTCAATTAATCTGTCTATTTTAGGGGAAGTATTTTGCACCCTGTCCAGTGACAATGCTGTGTAGCCCCTGCAAAGAGCTGCTGTACCAGGCACAAGGCTCAGGCAGGGAGGATGAATTACTGCTTGCTGGTCATCTGAATTATCCTCACATGACTTTATTACTTCTAGAGTTGAAAGGTGGCTGTTAAGAGTTTTGAGCATTACACAGTAACAGCATTAAGAATAGGTAGCTGTAGGGTGGGTGCCAGGGCTTGGTGCAGGCACCCTGCGCCCCTTGACTGGGCTTCCCCAGCATGGGTTGAGGATGCTCATCCTCTCCAGTACTGTTGCTCTGGCAAGCAGGCAGATGGTACAGCACTGCAGCCAAAGGAGTAAGGGTGTGTTTGATTAACAAACAAGGACCAGGTTCAGCAGTATCTGAGCTGTAAAAAGCCCTGGGTTGCTTCTGTGTCTGAGCTTTGGAAACAGGATGCTCTGTAAAAGCAAGTCCCAGTTAATAACATTGTGGAGGACACCTCTACAAATAATCCCCCCTCTCTGAATATCTGCAATTACTGGAAGTTTAATTTCCTCCTTTTTCTATTTTAATTTTTTTTTTTAATATTAATTGATGTAACTGTGTAGCTTAAATTCACGAGAGCAAAACAGCCAATGCGCATGTGCAGGTAATGTCTGTCACCTGTTTATGAATTCCTGAAGAATTACTGACATAGCTGGTGTTTTTGTTTAATTTTGGTAATTTATTTTTCTTCCTATTTCTACATTCTCTCTTTTACAGAATTTGATTCAGAAACAAAAAGGGTTCAGGACATTCTTTCTGGAATGGAGAAACCACAGGTATGTGAGAAGTTGCTTGTGTCACAACATACTGGTGATTTCACAGAGGATCACCTCTGAATTTTTTCATTAGTAGATTGTTGCCTCTGTAGATACCTAACTCATTTCCCTAGGATATAAATTTGAAGCATCTCTTGTGCTTGTGGGTATTTGTGGGCTCTGTTCACTGCAGGAATGGCACCAGTTGCTTGTTTCTAGAGGACAACTCCCAGAATTCATTTGGTTCCCCACCGTGATGGGGAACCCAGTGCACTGGGGTGATTGACATAGCTCTTCCCTGGGTTTAATTTTATTTGTCATGAGCAATTTATGTCTGTAATCATGATTAAATAAAGATAATTCTATTATTTAATGGCAATTACTATATTCTACGTTTATCTGAGCCATAAAAGCACGTGAATTGTAATGGAATTGAGTCACCATCTAAATAACCATAATGCTGGGTATGACCACAGTCAGGTAAGGTTATTAATAAATCTGGTTGCAAGACCTTTGAATGTGATGGTTTTCTAGTTTGGTGTGTCAAAGGCAGAATAGCATTGTGTATCTAAATGAACTGTTTAAACAAGCACTGGATGAAGCAGTCACGGGGCAGAGGGAGATGGTTGTGCTTTGGGAGTTCTGTCTCTGTTGCTTTGTCTTTCTCTGTTGAGGTAGAAGGCTAGTAAACAAGCAAATTAAGAAAAACAGTTGGAAAGCTCACCTAAAGACGGATTCAACAGTGGATGATGGAATGATATTCTGAAGTTGGAGCATGAGAAGATATCTATTCATTGGATGCAGAAGCAGCAGAGCCCAGGGAAATGCAGGCATGAGCATGGACTGAGTTTTATTTTTAGGTTCTGTTCTCTTGGATGCCTTTGTTCTGAAGAAATACAAAAGATGGTTGGTCTTAAGTTGCTCAGTCAGTAGGTGTTAGCATCTACAGTGTAGTAGCATCTATAGGAGCAGGTTCAAAGGCAACCAGAATATAAACCAGGCCTGCAGAGGTGATAAATACCAGAAGGCTACAGCTGGAGTTTCTGTTTGCAAGAAGGAAAGTTGCTTTACTTATTGCAGAAAAAGTGATAATACTAATCTGAAGACTTGAGAGAAGAGTTTCTGGTAGATCAGAAGGGAAGAAAGTGCACTTTGACAGAATTAGGCTAGTTTATTTTACAGAGTCAGTTAATATTTTTGTACTGAGAGCTACCTAAATGTTTCTCAGCTGGTAAAATGCCACAGCTAGATGTCTTTGACAAAGATCTAGAGAGCTGACAAGAAAAATTAGTTATTTCATACTTATATCTATAGAGGTAGGGAGAGAAGCTATTTGAGTAGTTTGCAGAATTCTGAGCTCTGCGCAATTAGAATTATGGTAACCAAAGTGTTTAAAGCAGAGGGGAGCAAAATGAAAAATAAACAAAAGTATTTTTGTAAATTTTGTAGATTTGAATAATTTTAAAAATAGGATATTTTTTATTTTTTAGTTTTTTAGTGTTTTGTGTTTTTTTAAATCTAAATTCTAGTTCCATATTAAAAACATTTAATGAGAAGATGCTGAGGGTTATCTCTCTTTGACATTTGTGAGTAATTGAACTCATAGGAGTCTCGCAAACCATTAATTGCTAGGAATGATTATGTATGTGTGTAGCCAATATTACATCTGATAGAAATATATTATTCGTAAATTGTCTGCTGGGCTGTGTTTCTTGATGAGCCTTGTGCATATATGAACAAAAAATAAAAATTTCAACAATTTATAGAAAAACAATCGCGTGGAAAGAAATGAGGCAGCTGAAATGGGAGGACACAGAGCAGTAAGTTCGTGGCAGGTGAAGTGATGTTGTGCCTGCAGCACATGGCTTTGATGCCAGCGGTTTGGAAACCATCTGAAGGGATTATCCCCCTGAGCAACTCCTGCGAGAGAATCTGCAGCCGCAGTATCACTTGGAGGTGTCTTTAATCTAGCTTGTCCATGTACTTCTATGTGACAAAGTCTCTCTCACCTTTCAAAGTACAAACTAGACACATTTTTTTAATTACTAATTTATAGAAAGTCTGTTTTTTATGATAGATGTTGTTACCTGCTTGAGAGACATGCAACCAAACTGTAAATTTAATTGTATTTTTATCCCTTTGACAGCAGAATTTTTTAAAGAAGCCTTTTGCATTTTCCCCCTATGTTTTTATTTAAAATAAAACATTTTTAATTTGTTTTATTGCAAAGTAAGCAGTCCCTAAAACAAATACATCAGTGAGGAAAAGGAAACTTTATAATGGGTTTCTGAAGTGGCTGGGGGCAGCATCGCTGTATGCAATAGCGTGGCTGCCAAGTGGCTCAGGGGGCATCACCTCCCATGGGGAAACATGATGCACAGAGTTGGAGCTCGGGCATTAGTTTGACTCTCCAAAAGGCAGTTTGCTCCCACTGACTTGCTCTGCAGTGAAAGTCATATTTAATCATTAGGATTTTTGCCTAAAATTGCAGGATTAGAGCCACAGTTTAAAAGCAAAATCTAGACCTGGTAATAACAGTGAATTCATTTGACCCATAAGTCTTTCAAACGTTGCCCTCCAGGGAGTAAATGAATGTTGCTTGCAGTGTAGTTCTCACACATACAATAAAGCCCCAAACCACACGATGCCTGTGAATGTTAACCCAGAATTTGAAAGATAATGAAAGTTATGCAGAAACATTGTTCATTACCTGAAAGACAGGAAGGGCCAATATTCATCAGTCTTGTAACCTTATTAGAGTAGTGCAGGAGCTGGATTCTTTCCCAGGGGCTTTTATAATTATTTACATCACCGAGTTTTGATAGCGTAGAAAGTAAGCATTTTCTGTGTAAACTGAGAAGTTTTCAGAAACTAATTAACTGCACTTTTCACCAGATATACAAAACTCCTTGTGGGAGAATCTTTTGTTAGGTCTCAGCTAAAAGGCCAAGCCAGTCCTGTTCAAAGCGAGCACAGCAATTCTGGGGACAGATGAGGCAGGCTGGAATAACAAGAAAGTAGCGCAAAGGTTTATCTGCCTAACCTGTGAAGAGGTGCTCTGGCCGCTCGTATTTTGGTTGGATGGAATTAGGGCACCATTAATGAATGCTTATGTTTGCATGTTCAGTAGTGCCATTGAGCTCACTATCATGATGTTAGCTGTGCTATTCCTTACAGCATGGATAGGGCTGGTCCAGATCTGTTCAGTGTTTTTTGGTAAATGTTTGTTTTGCCATGTGTAAGCAAGAAAAGTTAGAGTTAAAGGTACTGAGCTGGTTTTCCAGTGTTGGCTTGTTATTCTCAGACTATCATAACCCTATTTTATTTAAATTAAATTTTTACAGCAAAACTAGTGCTTCCAGCTCCAGTTAGGAGTTCCTTTGTAAAGTTAAGTGATATCTTTGGCAATTAAATCAGATACTGGAAAGATATGTCTTTGGCTGATAAACATGCTACAGTATCAAGCCTGTTAGTTGGTGAGAAGCACGCATACACGTAATCATAGAATCATAGAATGGTTTGGGTTGGAAAGGACCTTAAGATCATCTTGTTTCAGCCCCTGTGCCATGAGCAGGTATGCCTTACACTAGACCATATTGACCAAGGCTGTGTCCAACGTGGCCTTGAACACTGCCAAGGATGGAGCATTTACCAGTTCTTTGAGCATCCTGTTCCAGTGTCTCATGACCCTCACAGTAAATAACTTCTTCCTTATATCTAACCTGAATTTCCCTTGTTTAAGTTTAAACCTATTGCCCCTTGTCCTGTTGTTACATTACCCCTTGTCCTGTCATTACAGCTGAGAACAAATCTATACCCAGTACTTGTGCTGATGTGCACAGTATTATTCTGCTTCCTATAGAAGTATATAGATTTGCGTTTTCCGACTCTATCATGCAGATAGTGACCCCTCACTTGCTTTGCTACACTTTCTGTATGTACTCAGTGCAGCTAAGAATTGTATTTAATGATTTCTGGTGTTTATTTTTAAACCTGCCCCAGCTGTTACTGTGTTCATACCACCACGAAGGCAGGCCAGAAGCCACTCTGTATCAGTAAGAAATTAATGGTATAGCTGGGAAGGCTTATATCAGCTGGGTTTGGACTTCTATAATCTGCATGGAAATGTCTGCACACTGACTTCAGAATAATAGTCTAACAGTTTCTAGCAGTTAGTCTGTAATGTGCTTTCTCTTGATTTAAGACAGTGTAGAAGACCTAACTTTTTACAGATTTCTAAAGTTCATGAAAGGCCATAGCTTTTGCCATACGCAGAATATATACGTGTGTCTTTGTGAGTAGTCATAGAGAAAAACATTTCAATAGAACATTGGCAGGATATCATGCTTCCAGCTCCAAGTCTGTCTGAATTTATGAAAAACAATTATGCAAGCATATTTCCATAATAAAAGAAACTGTGTGTTGACGGGCTGAGCTGGTGTAGTAATAATGTATGTTTTAAAGAAAAGGTCTCTTTGGATCTTACTATCCAGTTTTCTGATCAAAATATTGTTTACAATATAGATTTTTAGCTCTAAGTATCTTTGTCACAATTTCATTCGCATACATATGCAAATACGTATCTCAAAAATGTAACTTATCTGTCTTATTTGGATCATTCTGGGTTCTTATGAAGTATCTAATCCAGTATTGGTGTTCACTGGTCCAAGTTTATGAAGCAAACATTAGTTTTGTAGCATCAGAAAAATGTGGCTAGAGGAAGAAATCACATGAAAATTCATACAAGAATTTGCATATTTTAAAAAAATGCTTGATACCACTTAAAACTTCTTGCCTTACAACTTGTTTTTCACATTAGGTTGAACAGGTTTTCTTTTCAGCAAGACTTAATTGTGCTGCTATAAATTAAAATCTTCAAGAGCATGGTGTTTGAGTTAAGATGAGAGATTTTGTGGCGTCACCTACTTCTCTGTCTGTTAAAAACAGATATATTACTTGCTCAGAAGGAATTTGTGTGATATATGGGTATCGCACACAACAGTTGCTGTGCTCTTTAGCTGGAAGCAGTGTGTTTTCATGTGAGAAGCTGTTCTGTGATTCTGTGATTCAGAAACTGGATTTGTAAACAAGCATTCCCTGAAAGCTGATGGCTTATATTTTATTACCAAATCATTTATGGGTAAGGTGTTTCAATTGTTTCAAGAAAAGTGTAGGAAATATGTAACTAAGCACCTGCATCATTTATCTTACACCTTCTGAAATAACATTTTGCTCTCTGTGTTAGAGAAATCTGTTAAAATGATAGAACTACTGAAATTTGACCTGTAGGAAAAATGGATAAAGAATATAAAACCTTGTGCATTGATTCCTCCTCATGGAGGCTAGCTAAAACCATTTTCTTTACATTTTCACTACAATTAAGAAAGAAAAATGTAGTTGTTTTCATTACTAAAAGTGGAGAGTTTGTGGTAGAGAGCCAGAAGCTATGGAGGACTTGATGCTTCCCTGGGCTTTTCTCTGAAGGTATACATAAAAAGTTATGTTGTCTGCAATGCCTCTGCCACTGTGTCAGCAGGCTGTCCTGGTGACAAAGGCGATGCTAGTTCTGTAAGCTTGGTCAGTCTACAGTTATGTGACTGTTTTTCCAAAAGAATACAACTGCACTGGTGGGGTGATAAAGTTGTTTTGGTGCAGAGCTTTGGGGTACTTTTTCTGTGTTTTAGTAGAAGAGAGTCCCCCCCCTCTGACATTGAGTTGTTGAGCCCAGGAGAGACCACAGATCATACATGCTGTCTTTCAGGGCACAAACTGATTGATTTGCAATGTGATTTTTAGTTGACAAGTTGACAATTCTATTATGATTTTCCTTTGTGCTTTTGAGTCAGTGTAACTTTGCAAATTGAATTGTTGGGTATTTTTTGGGGGGGGAAGGGGTAGGGAGTTATTTGCAGTTCAGTTACTGCGCAAGAAGGAGCAGGGTGACTAAAAAAAGCTATCAGAGATTATTAGATAAGCTCCTTAACAAAAGTTTTAGAAAAATAATTGCAACAATCCACAGGGTAAAGTCTCTGTTTCACTTAGTTCCACTTCCTTTCAGGGAATGGCCACGCAACAGGTACCTCCAGGATGGTGCAAGGCATCCTTGACCAGATGCTCAATGGCAAGCCATTTCACGGCAAGGGGGCATCTCTCTGTATTCCTCATCTGTTAAAGATTAGTTTATGCCATGAATATGTAATTTTTTGTGTTGTTGATGACTGTTTCTGACCCTGTACTTTTTACCTGTAGCTCTGGAATTCCCTTTTCATGAGAAATTGGTTGTAAAGATGCAAGCAGAAAGCAAGTACTCACAGGATAGTGTTTTTCTAGGAATTCCGAGTAACCGATGTTTCTTTTATAGGTTACAAATATTCAAGCAAGAACGGTTTTACTTTCCTGGTCACCTCCCACTGGCCTTCTAAATACAGATAGACACAACAATGGTTTGCCTTACACCTGTACCTACGAGGTTGCCTTATCGGATAAAGGGAAGGATGGAAAATACAAGATAATTTACAGGTAACGGCATCATTTTTACACTTGTGTTTTTATTAGGAATAAGCTCCCTGTGCTTCTCAGTGTGTATTTTGACATGCACATCAGTCACAGAGAAGAGACACATTTGAACACCCTGTAATTGCTCCCTTGCTGTCCCATCAGCCCCCTTTGATGGAATAACTTACATCGAGCTGTTTGAGTGCATGTTGCAAGGTCTGTAATTGCTTTCCCTTCCCACGTCACCAACATCTGGCAGATCTTGCATGGGATGCTGTGTCTCCTGTGCTGATGAGAAGGTTATTTTTTTCTCTTACGCTAAATGTCAAAACCTTTCGTGTACACCATGCAGGCAGGATAGCTGCCTTCCTAATGGGCTAAATTTGTATGGACTTGCAGAATTAAGAACAGTAAAGCTTGCTTTTTGAGCTAGTGAGCAGAAGTTTGAGGGCTTTACTGCTCCATAGTGTCTTAAATGAGCAGAGGACAGAGTACACCATCAGTAGACTGTATAGGCTACCCAGAAAAACCCAAATATTTGGCTCTCAGAAGTCTTCATTAAAAATTAAGGGATTGCTCTCTCTCTCCTTCCAGTGATCCTCTGAGCTCATTCTCTGATCAAGTACATATGGTGTTATGCCTTTCTTTTTCCTCCCGCTAGTCTAGGAAAGAAAATTTAGAGATGTGACTGTGGCTATTGTGAAATAGCTAATCCTTCCCAAATCTCAGTAAATAAACTCCAGGTGATGCAGCATTTATGGACTTACCTCTTGAGACCAAACCATCTCCTCTTAAGATGTCCTGTGAATTAGTGTATTCCTCTTGGTATGCCAGAGGCAGGGAACTGAGCAGATTGAATTGTTTGGTACTATAGAAAGAGGTTATTAACCAAGAAAATGGTGCCTGATTTTTATTTTTTTTTTCTTCTGGTATTTACACTAGCTAAACTAACTGGTATTTCACATTAGTGAGCCAGTGTGAGCATCTCTAAAGGTTAAAATGGGCTGCTGAGCTCTTAAAATGGGAACGGCACTTTCTGGTACTGCTTGTGCTTGCTGGTGTGATGGCTGCACGTTTTCTCATGGTTATGAAATTTTGTGCATCTGTTTTAAAGCTGCTATTAGTAATCTGTCTCCTGCTGCTGGCCACAGTGTAGCCGTTAGCTTGATACGGTACGCTCCGTCACAAGCAGCAGTAATCATTATTACTATAGGCAAACAAAAGTCTGCAATGTGTTGAATACATTGTCTTTGCAAGGAGGTGCACTCATTCAGGGGGGAAAAACTGAATTTACAGAGCATTGGATTATACGAAATAAAGAAGGGGGTTTTGGTGGATTTCTGGCAACCCAGGAGGCGTGTGCTTTCTGGTTGGTTTTGTTCTCTTGATTTTTGAGAGATCTACCCATATTTGCCCAACCTCCTGTGAAATAATTCTTTATGCCTAATTGAGAATTTTCTTGTTTCCCGTATTTTAATAAAATCATGAAAAAGCCAAACAATGAGATGGCTATTACTTACTAATTACTGACCTGTACCTTCATTTTCACAGAATTGTCAACACATGATTGAGCCTAGTCTTCATTTACCAGCAAACAAACCAAAAGGAAAAAGAATAGCCCTAACTGTGTTGGCTACATTTGAAATTAATAGATTATATGCTGGATTTTTCCTAAAATGTCTGTAACTCTGTGTTTTTACTTTTCTTGGTATTGAAAGAGATCTGGGTCCAGCTGTTACAGCATTAATTAAACCTCTCCTTGTCATGACCCTCACAGAGACTGTTCTTCTGAAAGAGAGAGCAAACAAGTGAGAGGATTGTGCAAGAAGCTATACTTTATCCTCTGAAGTTCAGTGACTCACTTTTTATAAAGTATTTTGCAATAATGAATGTGCAGAAGGTACGAAAGTAATGTATCAATTTGGCTCTTTTCAGCTCTGGGAGGGTTGAAAATCCTATTTGCTTATCAACAAAATGTAAGGATAGCATTGAAATAAATCAACATAACTGGTTTATTGTATAAATTGGGATGGTTATTACTTTTCTCCTGCGTATACAGAGCTTTGTAAAGTTTTCAGGGAACAAGAATTGCATCGACAAATTATTGGTATATTGTTTACGACTGTTTTTCTGGAAAACACCCATTTTCCTTCAAATCATAGTATGAGGGAGTTGCTACTCACTGAAAAAATCACTGGCTGTGCTAAGTGTGATACTGTTTTTCATTATTTGTTGGGTTTGGTTTCTTTTTCCTGCAGTGGAGAAGAATTAGAATATAACCTGAAAGACCTTAGGCCAGCAACAGATTATCACGTCAGGTGAGTTAGTCTGACTATGAAGGTCACTTAAATATAAACTCTTCAGTTATATGAGGATAAATGTGAAAGTCTTCTATCTAACTCTACAGTGTAGCTCAAGAATTTCACGGTCATCTCTGTGTGTTTTCAGTGGCTTCTAGATACTTTCTCACAGTTTTTATCCTGAACTTTAAAGTTACAAGAGTATTTTTTGAACAATACATTTGCTGTCATATTGCTATCATTACTATGGTAAAGAGGAAAAAAGACATCTGCATAGCTATATTTCTGCCTGTGTGTTTAACAGGCCTAGAAGCGCTTGTGTATGAAAGTGGGATTCCTCAAGCTTCTTAAAAATGTGACTCAAGCAACTGGCATTTCTGTAGTTACTGTACTAGAGATGTGCTAGCACCGAAAGTACTCCAGCACAGTTTCCTCATAAATACTCCTTGCTTCATGAAGTAAATCTGCTGCTTAGAAATGCGTCTGACCCTAATTTCAGAATTTATTAAAAAAAAAAAAAAAGAAGGATTTGCACTGGCCTTTCTTGGTATTTTCAGGGTGTGTTTCTCTTTGATTTGAAAAATGTGGTTTACTCGTTTAGTAACTGTTAACACATTCTGTGTTGCTCCCTGATGTTTTTAACACCGTCTGTGGTGTTATCTGCTTATGTTGCCTTTTTTTTTAAAGACTTTCCTTATGAAGCAAGGTTTCAGAGTCACATCCTGCTCACTTATACTCAATATCCTTTAAAAAAAAATCCTTTCACTCCTTTCTATTGTTTCCCTCTGTTTTTCCAGACAAGGGCTGGATTGCTGTGCTTTTTCACATCAAGGCTGCTCCTGTTTGTAAAATTTTAAAGAGCGTTGTGCTTCTCAGCTATTAAAAAAAAAAACACCAACCCAACACCAGAATTTATCTGTCTTGCTCTGGTGCTACAGCTTATGTTTTTCTAAGAATACTTTCTAGTGAAGCTTTAAAATGAGCGTTTCAAGAATAAGCACAAGATCAGAAGTAACTTCTTGTGCATAAGTACAAGACTCAGACTCCCAGGTCAGCCAGTAGTCCCAGCCCTAGCAGCAAATGGATGGTAGCAAGGAGGAGAAAATTCTATAACACTGCTGAGCATCCTGCTGTAAGCGATTGAACATGATGTTAAAAGCCAGCTTCCAACAAGAAAGTGGTCTCTATGCACAGCGTGGCATTGAGGTCTGGTGCGATTTTTGAGGACATTGTGAGTATTTGCCCTGTGTCCTGGCTGACTTCTTCCTCCCTACCTACAGCTCGCTCCACCTTCCCAGATGCGTGTCAAATTAAAAATTGTTTGTGAACAGTTAGCAGTTAACTTCATTTAAAAAGGAGAAGCAACTGCTAAATATAAAAGTCAGACTTAAAAAGCAGCAGCATGTGTTTGGAGTGGAGGGAAACAACCCTGAAAAGACGTGCTGTTTGCTTTCCGTGACAATTTTTTCCTTCACTGAAACTGCATTATGTATTAACAACTGTGAAGAAATAAATCTGTTAAGTAAAGAAATCTATTGGGCAACCATTACTCGGCAGATTGCCTCAGGTCTCCTTAACCTTGGCAGCATCTCTCAGGGCTTCATCTCCACACAGACAAGCTGCTTGTTCTTGGTCCCGCCCTGCTGAGCCCTGACACCCAGGACACCCTGGTTTGCTCTGAATCTCTTGCCTGCGTTTCTTCCAGTAGTGTGACTTTGGTGCTTGCAGAGACGACTGTGCTCAGTGTTTCAGTGACTTGCAGAAGATGCTTGTTAAGCTCATTTTCACATGGTTGTGTTCCCTGATGGTATGTGTTTGCTGCTTGGCTACACTGATTTCCGGCACGGGTGCATACCACTCACCAGCTTCAGACTCAATTAACTGCATTTGTTTTCACTCCTGACTAACAGGTGGTGGGTAAAGCAGCACTATAGCAGTTCTTGTGAACTTCCCAAAAGGTTTGATTCTATGTAGGTGGCCATTGTACATAAATTACTCTTATCTACCGAAAACAAATTTAGAAATTGCCCTTTCTTAAACTCTGCATTCAAGCGCACAATAGCTACAGGGAGCTCAGAGGTCATCGTCTGGTCATGGTTTGAACTTTTTTTGAGTAGAAGACTTCCAATTTGCACTTTTATTTTGCTGCATAGAAAATGTGCAGGAGAAAAAATATCATTAATTTTTTCAGAGCAAAGCACCTTGTGAGGAAGTGCTCAACTACATTGTGTTCACTTTCCAATATGTGAAATATTATATATCCCCTTCTGTACTGATATGTAGAGAAACTGCCTGAAATCATATTTGCTTTGAAGATTTTTATTTTAACCAGAGCTGTGTAAGTTCTAAGTGTTGACACCTAGGCTATGTAGAAGCTTGTAGCCATGGAAGGAAACCAGCAGTTAGCGCCGCTCACTTGCTTTACATGTACGCAGGCATTAAAATTTTGTATTGCAAAGAGGATTTTAGCACACTGTGTGTGAAAGTCTGGCAACAGGCAAGAAAGTAATGGTGGAAAGAAAAAGTGATGATGATAACTAAGTGGTCTCTGGGAGTATTTGAACAAACCGCTGTAATATTTCTCTTCTGCTGTGAATTCTGTTGCATATCAAGTGAAGTAGAATAATGATAGCCACTGGTCTGTGAGAAATCTGTCATTAGTGGATGGTATTGTGGATGCTTTGGTAGTCAAATATTGTGGCTGAGGCAGTGCTGTCTCATCTTGTATTTGTCAGCTAATTTATAACCCATTTGAATGTTCTTTCCAGGGTATATGCAATGTACAACTCAGTAAAGGGTTCCTGCTCAGAGCCAGTAAGCTTCACCACTCACAGCTCAGCACCAGAGTGTCCCTTCCCACCCAAACCCTCGCACAGGACCAAAAGCTCCTTAACCTTACAATGGAAGGTAGGTAATGCTTGGATCAGGCAAGAAAGCAAAGAAAAATACAGTTTACTGACAGTGAGCATAACTGTTGAAAATAATTGAAAGCTGAGACAGTTTTCAGTAAGGAACTTGAACTTCTTGTAATCTACAAATCCCTCCCCGTGCACTGACTTGACTTTTAAAATGTATGTGTTTCATTACATCCAGCTTCCTCACAGTATTTGTTAAGAGGTTGCCAAGCTGTGCACAGCCCCCAAGCTTTGGCTTCACTTTAAACTTTAGTCATTTGCTGGGGGGGAGGGAGTTGTTTTCTCTTATTCCCAAAATCACCATTGTTTATTTTTCTTCATAGGCGCCCATTGATAATGGTTCAAAAATCACCAGCTACCTTCTGGAGTGGGATGAGGTAAGGAGTAACTGGTTGAAATAAATACATAAATAAATGGCACTCAGACTTTACAAGGATTTGCTGAGCAAAGAAAAATAATTAAATACAGGAGAAAGTAGAAGTAGGAAAATGAAATCCTGATGGCATTAAGTAAAGAGCTGGAAAGGTTAAAGGGATGGGGGGGGGGAATTTTAATTCACTGTATTTTATGCAGAGACGATGTTCTGCTTCTGTACTCTTGAAATCTAAATTTTATTGCGCATGCAGTGCGCTTTATTTGTTAATTAGCATTACTTGTCATTTAATGACTTGATGTATCTTAGAGTTCTATCCATGATTTCTTTTTCTGGCTGATATCTGAATCAGAATAAATTGTTGTTCTTGCCTCAAAGAAGAGCAGTGATCTTGCAGCCCTTTCATCAGGGAATGTATTCAGGGTCAAAATAATGATGCCCTTTACACAGTGGCAATTAGTCCCCTTCTAGACACGAAAGGAAGTAAGTTCTCTGTCCCAAATATTTACATAGTGAGCAGCTTGCTTTTGGGGAGAGTGCCATAAACAAGAGATGTGGACTATTTGCTGGAGGTGGGCTCAGGTTGTAAGTCCTCCCTTCATCCCCTAATTCCTTTCCATTGTGTAAGCCTTATTTCTGCAGAAAGCATGAGTCAAGGAGTATCATCTTTGAAGGAAAAAAAATACGTGATGTTTGGAACCACTCACCCTGCAAATATTTCAGTATTGCAGCAAGTGAGGTCTACGTGATGAGAAACCTATTGAACTGAACTAAAATAAATCGTAATTTTAGAGTGACTTGCTGTCCCTCTCTGCATAATGAAGGAGGAAAGGTCAGTGAAGAAGAAAAAAAAATGGAGTGTGAGGTCAGGGAATGGAGATTAAAAAGACATTTCTCCAAAAGTAGGGGCTAGGGTGATCCCATTTCACCTCCTGTGACACCTTGACTGTGCTGTTGTGATCTCTTGCAAGGCTTTCAGTAACTTGGAGCCATGGGAATGTAACAGCACCAAGCAGTGAAGCGGTGGAAAAACAAATGATTCCAGCCTACAAAGGGAAAGGAAGCAATAGAAGGTCTTGTCAGAAGAAACACCAACACAACAGACCATTAATGCAGTGCTAATACTTCTGATGTTAATTTTGTCCACGTGGACCCTAGTCATAATTTCGGATATACGTTAGGCAACTCTGAAATGCTTTTGTCCTTTAAACCATTTAATACTGAGTATATATGTAGACTTTCATCTTCAGAAATAATTGTTACGACCGTTTTTCACATGGCAAAAGTAGCTAGTAGGCTAGCTCATGTACGAGTGGTAAAAATGAAGGCATCCTGATTCCTTTGGTCTGTATGGTTTAATTACCTTGTTTTATCAGTAGCAGTCCTGAAATCTGAGATCCCAGTGGGTAGCTAGCCAGCAAAGATGAAAGAATAATGGCCCTGCACAAATTAATTTGGTATGTCTCCAATGATTTGACAGAACTCCTGACCGAAAAGTAATTGTCAGGTTGTTTCCTCTGCTATGAGACAGAAATGCAATTTTGAGTTGCTGAATTAAAACTTGCTATTAAGGCCTACTAAAGAAAAAGTCTGAAGATGTAGGCTGGCTGTGCCTACATCTGTGGGAGCCTCATCTACCGGCAACAGCAAGCTCAGCAAGCTGTTCTACCCACTTTTCCATGTGCCCTTACAAGTTGTGCCTCTGACTTAGGGTGCGGTTAGATCCCAGAGTTAGAGCACCCAAGAACAAAAGAGAATTCGCTTGTAATGCCCCGTACCTTTGCACTTGGTTGTGTGAACTCCACGTAAGCAAAACCACTGTTTTACAATGCCACACTGTGTCCTGGTGAAATCAAGAAGTAAATAGGGAGGAGGAGAACAATTGCCAGGCAACAGCAAATGCTCTGCCAGGTCTCAGCTAGAGCAACATTCATCAGCTACAGGGCACAAAGTAAGATATAAACATGGGGAAATCAGCAATCAAAATGAAATTAAGTTGTGGCTAAAAATCAGAGAGGACTTTGCATGAATGGAGAACAAGAAATCTATCTGATGATGGAGTTAGACAAACACCCTAAAACGGCAGTCTGCCTTGAGGTGTTGAGTCCCTTCCTAAGGGAGGATGGTGTGTGAGTGAGCCGTGGAACCCAAGCTGTGCTACTCACTCCCACCAAGGAAGGGGCTTCAGCAGCCCATTCGTGCTCCTGCACAGTGTGTAACAGATTGTCTCTCTCCGAGATCTTGGAGCATGATGCTCAACAGTATCTCAACTCATTCCTCCTGTTTTTACAGTGGAAAGGCATAGTTCATAGCATCTAAAATGCAGCCAGAAGTGTAGGTGGCATCGCTCATATATGCAAGAAATAAATTTGCTGTAAAACAGCAGCAGAAGCAGCATGTTTTACAGCCCTGGGATTAGGTGAGGTTCTAAATTGTAACAAGAGGACAGCATCTCATCTCTTTGTGGCTGCAGCTGGGGAGTCCCAGAGGGCTGAGGTGCTGCAGTGCCAGCTGGGTGCAGGGGGGTCTGCCTGGGATCCTGGGTTCAGAGCTCCTCAGCAAGCCCTGTGCTACCACACGTATCTACTGCAGGGTTCCCCACTGCTCTGGAGGGTCTCTCTAGAGACTGGAGAAAGGTGGATTTTGTTTCATTGGTTTTATTATTATTGTTGTTGCTGTTGTTATTATTATATTTCCTTTAGTGTGGTTTTTTTTGTTTTGTTGGGGGTTTTTAATTATTATTTTATCTTGTTGACAATAGATGCAGTACTATCCCCATTCTGTGGTTTAGCTGTCTTTTCTTAGATGTACTTTAAATGCCTTCTCTCACCTCATTAGATTAGCTTTAGATGAAACACAAATGAGTTGCTTTCGTTTCTTCATTGGAAGTAGGTGTCTTCTGACCTGTTTTGATGAAAAGAAGGTTATACTTGCTTAACATGTCACTGTGCCAGTCCTACCCAGCTGCTGCTTCTTCAATTTAGTTCTGAGTTTTGGGGATTTCCCTGACCTGCAGGCTCTGGAAGATAGTCAAAGCTATTCCTGCTATTCTACCTTTTTTCCCCCTCCCAATTTAGATTAAATGGTTTGTAACATGACTGGTGTTACGTGTTTGTTAGAAAACACAAATACTTTCTTCCTCAGTACTGACATAAGTCTTTGACTTACAGTTGTAATACCTTGATAATAAACTGGTTTAGTTTCAAATGCCTGAAGAACTATGGAGGATGATCTTTATTCTTTAATAGTAGCGTAAAAGATCAGTTCAGTGAGTTGTCACCTGATAACATTGGATGCACACTGGGAAAGTTTCCATCGACTTCAAAGGAGGTAGGATCAGCCCCTCTCCTCTGGTATTTCGAAATTCAGTTGGATTTGAACATGCCTGTAGCTCAGGTGCTGACGTTACCAATATTAGCCTGGCAATAAAATCAGTTAGAATTATTATTTAAGGAAAACTCCACCTTCTGGCTCCTTTTCTATGAACTTTACAAACCTGAACTAGTCACTCGATGCCTTTGTTCCAGGATTGATTATTCGGGGTAAGCAAAAGGCTAATTAGAAAAAATAATGTTAAAAATATGCCAAACAGAAAGCAACACTGTAAATGAGTTGATGCTTTCTCCTGTTGCCAGCATTCATCAAAATCAGTAAACTGTAACTGCATTGAAAAATGCCACTAACACTGCTTTAAGAATCAGGCCTTTGTTACTAATCAGATGTGAAATGCTGATTCCATGATTAAGTGATAGTAAATACATGTTTCTCTTCTGTTTATGGATAGTGAGAGTATCCTGTTCATTCTCTATGGAAAGTGTAGGACTGTTCCTGAACCAGAGAGGACATCCCTCTCAGGCAGTGTGTATAACTCAAAAGCAGCTTTAATTCTCATCCATTAAGCGTCTCATTTTAATTTGCTCGAGAGAGACTGATAGACTACCACACTATTTAGTGATCTGGTGACAGGTAGTTAATTAAGTTTATATAGAGATAAATGGAGATGCCACCAAGTTTTAAACTGCTTGAGGCTAGCAGAGGTGTTCTTTGTTATACTAGCTATAATTGGGCCATGCATATCAGTGATGGTCCACCAAAATTCAGTACACGGAGCCCCACGCTTGTGCCTGGTTTGTGTTTGCTCACCTGCATGCCCTCTAGGTCTGTTCTGTGGCTATGCTGCTCCTGTGAGACATACAAGAAGAGAGTCTTGGATGAAGTTGGATTTTGTGCATGTATTAGGAATGTTTCATAGGTCCTGTCATGTCTACTAAATGTTTGTATATCGAGAAAATTCAGTTATGTGTGTAAGAACATGCACAATAAATGCTTTGCAGAGAAACTAGGTTGTGTTATAGTAATTGTTGACAGTTTGCTCCGCAGCTTTGTGTCAGATTGAGTATCAATCTGCTGCTTTTTATTGCCAATATGAGACAAACACAGAAGTTAAGGCTGGCGTGGCCTGCAGCATATTCCATCTTACCTCCTGGTTGTAGATCTGATGCTGACAGCTTCTATTCAGATTTCTGCACTGTGATCCTGTGAAGGACCGTGCTCCATTTCTGTATCCACTATACCTGCAGTGACCCATTCCTCGTCATGTTTATTTACTATGTCTGCCACAGGGAATGTGATCAACAAAGCCCATTTAAAATCCCCAAACCCTTGTCTTCTCCAGGAGAAACGTAAGCACCCTGTGTAGCTTGAAGTATAGCTGAAATAGCAAGCAAAATCTTGAAAACTGAATTGTTGTGCAAATTCTAATGGATTTGTGGAGCTGAATTGTGCTTGTTTCCTTGGACAGGCTCTGATCATCACACTGTGGGTGATTCATGGGTGAATCTCTCACGAAGAACAGGGAATGCAGGCTGCAGAAGGGGCTAGTGAAGAAGTCAGACAGTGCTCTTCCTCTGAAATTTGTGGATTAGAAATAGTTGCGGAAGTGATACAGTGTATTTTAAGCAACTTACAAAACATTATTTGAGGGATTAAAACTTGGATGCCGGGTGTACAAAGAATAGGGGAAGGCTTCTGGGAAAGCTGTAAGACTCTTGGGTGGCAGCCAGTACCAGCCTGCCAGTTGCTCCTGTCTATAATTATGCCAGCATTAGTGCTTTCATAAATCTTGGGAGAGAAGGAGCAGAGAGACTATTTCCAGGCTATTAATGCCAGGTTAATTAGAAATATCGGCCAACCTCTCCAATTAGTGCCAATAGAATCCAAAATACCAGCCAGTCTGAGTAACTTGAATACCAGTTGGTCTCTGTGCAAGTCTGGGGAGGGTACAATGCCAGTTCAAGAAGAAAAATATATACAATATCAGAACTTGTACTGTTATAAAGATGGACGTATGTTAAATGTTTGGCAACCTCTGCAAAGTTTTAATCCACCAGTTGACAAATTGGAGTTTTCTTGGCCCATTGCTCTCACTTCAGGCATTGTGCTACAGATGAGAGAGATTTTCCAGGACTTGCCTTTTTAGCCAGCCGATTCTGTTCATTGCTTTGTCAACTACATGCTTAGCATTTGGTCGCTTTGTTCTTTTGGAGAAAAATCACACAAAAAGAATAAAAACCCCCAAAATAAACAAGCAACTGTTCTTAAGAAATCAAAAAGAAGTGTTTTCAAATGCTTTACAAATAGTGAAGTCATTAAAGACTTAGAGAAAAATTTATTTAATGCACCTAAGCCTGTAAAAGAGAGTTTGCGGGGGGGGGGGGGGGGGGTGGTGGAATTCTGTGCTTAGTAGTCCTGCACTGATGAATGGGTATTCTACTAAAAGATAGGATTACTAATTAAGTTTTAAATACATTATTGCTGAGCTGGGAAGTATGGTGACCTATTATTTTTGTCCAAAAGGAATTTTATCATATATCTTTAAGGATTTTAGATCTGAAAAAGTTTTCTCTTTTACAAAAGACTTTAAGATTCGTCATTCTCTTCCAATTCCACCATTCCACCAGATAATTTACTTGAGTCACACAGTAATGTTACAGCTGGAGCAGGTGGATGAAGTTGAAGACTGTATAAAACCAAGTTCTAGAACAAGTGTAGGATCACATCTTATAAATAGAAGTAAGTTATGGCTATCTGCCAGTGTGCTAAATGACCCTTCAGTGTCCTGAAATTGTGCCATGATGGAGGTCTGCATGATTGTTTCTAGTTTGATAAACATATTTTGGAGACATACTGCAAGTATTTTATGTCTTTCTTCCTTATGGGCTGCAATGCGCATGAAAAGAAGTGGAAATTGACCAGGGGCTGGTGAAAAACATATGTCCCACTCAGGCATTTTTGAGATTTTGGGGCATTTAAAGTTGATGTATTGAGTGTGGAGGAAGAATGGTGTGTGAGAGGGCACACAGACCCCAAGGAGGCAGCAACAGGTGAGGCTGCAGTGAGGGACATTTGTGTGAATTATCTTACTGTTAGTCTGCTTAGGCATAGAAACATCAAATCTTCTTTCAAGCTTTGTATGCCAGGTGAAATAAGTAGCTTTGTGTATGGGCAGATGTTCATTTTTATTTTATCTCAGTAAAATAGACCTGTAGACAGGTGCCAAAACCAGCGAATGCTATAGCAGAGCTCTTAAGTCAGAAGTTGCAGAGATGGCTATAACTATCTCCTGCACCAGTTCAAGCTCACAGGTGTGCTTTGTTAGGTTTCTATCCTGGTGTGCTTTTGGGTTCTTTATAATGTGATTATGCATTAATTTTGTGTTCAAGTATTGAAATTAAAACTCCTTTAAACTGCTTCAGCTCAGGGAGAAATTATTTATGTGGAGCTGAGCAGTTTATGCCCTTTCCCCAAAGGATTTCAAATTGACCATTTCCCGTGTGTTGCACAGGATGAGACCAAATATTCTTTGTTGTCCTGTGGTCTGTGTCCTGCAAAAAGCTCAGCTTTGTTTTTACCTCAAGGGTACCAGGTTGGGTGGGATTGAAAAGGGTTTTGGTTTCTTTTAAATGTGGCGGGGAGGTAGAGGACTTCTGAATGTTCATGTCCTCAGCTGTACTGGTTTGTACCTGAGGAAGTACTTGGGAGCTGGGGAAGTGTCTCAATACCTTCTCTCACTGCTGCCCCATCTTAGGTTTGTCAGGGATCTTCATCGCTCTGGGTCATGTTGATGTGAAGCTCCAATGAAAGCTCTGTCATCCAAGTTTCTTAAGAAAGTTGCATGCTTTCTAATAAATCCTCTTTACTCATCCCATGCCACGTGCTCTGAGAACTGGGATGGTTACAGAACCTGGTACCTTAAATATCCCTCCATCTATTTTGCCCTGAAGAGCATGGGGTTCAAACCCAGGCACGTCCTTCTCGGTGGCAGCAGCTGGGGTTGGCCATGGGCTGGACCGTGGGGAGCGAGAGCCCTCTTGTGGGATAGAGTGTTTTCAAAGGACCAAAGAGAGTTTACGTGGGATTTGAGGTGCAGAGCGTAGCACTTCCGAGAAATGTTGGTTGCAGCTTTCCTATGCTCCTGTGAACAGGTCGGTTCAGAGATTAATTTTACCTTAAATTTGCACGCTTTTTTGTTAATTAGTAGGATAAATAGCGTTTCAAGCAGAATGACAAAAGATGTAGGTACGTCTCACGAAGATGGGAATCTGGCAGCGGATTGTGTGTGTTGATTCATGTTATTTTAGGTAGAATATCAGTGCTGTCAGTGGCTTGCACAGCTTTCTTTGTACACTGCCTTATGAAAGCATCTAATTCTAATATAATTTAACAGATCTTTTTAAAGTAAGAACCATGTGGTTTTGTTTCATAGCTATCCGATTACAGATTTCTCTCTTTCTAGGGAAAGAGGAACAGTGGTTTCAGAGAATGCTACTTTGGAAGCCAGAAGCATTGCAAGTTGACTAAGCTTTGTCCTGCTTTGGGTTACACCTTCCGATTAGCAGCTCAGAATGATGTCGGTACTAGGTAAGTTGCTCAAGGTACATGCTTTCTGCAGAAAAAGTGGTAATTGAAAAGTTTTAACTATCAATGACAGAATAAAGAGGAATTTCTGGGGAGATTTGGGGAGGGGTGGTGTGTTTTTTTCTCTTTATGGTTTTGTGTTAAATATCTGACATTTGCTTTATTATTAATCTCTTAGAGTAAGTCACAGCTTCCCTGGTGGTAACATTCATCTCCCAGGGAATTGCCATGTACCTTCAGCATGATGAGGTTAGCCTAAGAAGATAGGCTTCTTTTGAGGTGTTAAATGGTGTTTTGTGGTCTATTCCTAATACAAAAAGAATACATCTGTTATGTAAAATCCCCACTAGGGACCTCTGTGAACCAAGAAAAACAAGCAGGAGGAAGTTAAGTTACAGATTTTGAAAGGAATCTTGGTGTATTTATTTTTTCTGGTTTCAAGCAAAACCCTTCTGTCTTTTTTCAGCAGTACAGTCCCTTCTTTCTTCCACAGGACTGGCAGATCTGGCTGATGGGGTGGGAAAGAAGGGTGAGAGAGCCAGGACCGAGAGAGAACAGGCACATCCGTAGGCCTTGAAAGATGGGTTTCAGGTTCTGCTTTTCTTTGCACATGAAGAGATATACTCGAATGAAGATGATGAGCATTCAGACTTACTGCAATCCTCCAGGAGCTTCTGGGGAGCCCTGGGCTAAAAGTTACACAGCTGAGGACCAGAGTTTGCCCAAAGAGACGTCAGTCATGCTGCAGGGGCTGCACGCTCCTGTACTTACAGAAGGAAAGTAAGCCAGGAAGAGTTTAGCTGTGAAGAAGCTAAACATCCAGTGCTCTTGTTTACTCCTTTATTGTCCTTTGTAGCTAAACAGGATCTAATCATTATCACAAGGACAGAAAAAGAAACAATGTATTTTACTCAGAGAGATTCCTGTATTGTTTGCTTTTCCAGAACACAAGCCTCTTAGTAATATGTAGCTTTAAAAAGTTTCTTCATTCATGTTCCTGTGTTCTCCCTATGAGATGCACTGGGACTGTTCATGTGTGCAGAAGAGTCCTTTTGCAAGATTGCTTCCCTTCTTATTGAAATAATTTTTGATCTATAGAGAGAAAGAGGCTTGAGCTGGATCTGCTCAGTGTAACTCGGACTGCCGTTTTTGTGCAAAGTTCCCCGCTTTAGCATCTCTTTACCATATTCCAGATATTTAAAATATCTTAGGGCATGATTCAACCCTCCCTCCCTTTCTTTGTTCTTCTCTCTCCTTTTTTTTTTTTTTTTTCCTGAGGCTACTGGAGGGGAAAGTGAACTAAGAACTATATTTATGATGAGCTGCTCTGTGTTAATCTGTAAAGATAAGCACCAACAGCACGTGGCTTATTTTTATAGACAGCGCTCAAAATTATAACATGATAATGTCATCCAGCACTTTGTGTCATAAGACAGGTTTGGTTGGCAATAATGCTTGTGGACCTACCATTTAAGATGGTTATTGCCTTGTTTTGGGGTTAGTGGGTGGGTTTTATAACTATATATATAAAATAGGTGAATTTTATATATCTATATATATAAAAATAGATGGATTTTATAGCTGTAAGAATATTTCGACAAATATGTTATTTTTGCAAAAGAAGACTCAGGAAAAGGAGATGTGGCTTTTTGTATTTATTAAACTCATGCCACAACTTTAACAATCAAAATATGTTTTTATTTTGGAAACAGAGGTTTGCAAATTGCAAGAATGTTACCTTCAGTTGAGAGTTCTGATGTTGTTCTCCTGAAAATTTGCCAAAATTTGTCCATTTTTAACTTCTGTTCTCAAATTTCCATTATATGTAATATATTCAGCATGGAGTCTTAAGAGAACTCTTACTACACTTGCTTGACACAACTGCCTATTATGTTTTAAGCCATTGTCTGCTGGGATTTAGAATCATAGAATCATAGAATAATTAGGGTTGGAAAGGACCTTAAGATCATCTAGTTCCAACGCCCCTGCTGTGGGCAGGGGCACCTTACGCTAAATCATATCACCCAAGGCCTTGTCCAACCTGGTCTTGAACACCGCAGGGATGGAGCATTCACAACCTCCCTGGGCAACCCATTCCAGTGCCTTACCACCCCAACAGGAAAGAATTTCCTTCTTATATCCAATCTAAACTTCCCCTGTTTAAGTTTGAACCCGTTACCCCTTTTCTTATCACTACAGTCTCTAATGAAGAGTCCCTCCCCAGCATCCCTATAGGCCCCCTAGAGAAGGCCCCCTATAGAAGATAAGAGCGTGTATCTCCCCTGTTGCAGATGTTCTCTGATTGCAACCTGAGCTGTGCAAAGGAGGAACTTTATGCTCAGCTTAAAATGCAAAGAAGTTTGGGCAGGGAGAGTTGGAAGGGAGTAGAGCCAGCCTGGGAGGTTGGAAGGCATCTGTGCCTGCACCAGACAGCTCCTACATGATGCTGAGCATGTATGGTCATGACTGGATAAATTTTCCCTGCTTTCCTTGGAGGAGGATGTCTGAAACAGTGGGACCAGATTTGCTGAAGGAGGCTGCTTTCAGGGGTGTAGCTTAAACATAAGCTGTATTCTGAGTTTATAAAAGGTGGAAACTGTATGTCAAGTTCCACTTCTGCAAGTTGAACACTTGGGACTTTATTTCCTATGTTTAGTTCCCCTTTGTTACATGAGATTTTCCTCTACTTCACAGTTCATAGTAAATATTTTTAGGCATACAAATATTATTTTTTCCAATGTTATTGGGATGAAATCTGTAAAAATGACCATGAGAAAACACACAGTCCTACATTTTTTGCTATTATTAGTTCTGGCATTTCCTAACTGGGTGTTCATATTTTAACATTTTTAACACTGTCTAGATTTTTTGAAAATGTGAAATACTTCTGTAAATACACTGAGGTTTGTTTATTTAGTTCTCTTTTGTTTGTATCTTTTAACATTCCTCTGTTTCTGTGCAGTGGGTACAGCCAGGAGGTGGTGTGCTATACCGCAGGTAATATTCCTCAGACCCCTTCAGCCCCAAGGCTTGTTCGAGCTGGTGTTACATGGATCGCATTGCAGTGGAATAAAGTAGAAGGATGTACACCAGAGGAAGTGATTTCCTACACCCTGGAGATTCAGGAAGAAGATAGTGTAAGTACCATGTTACTATGAAGTATGCTGCACGAATTAGTGTTTTCACTTACTAATTCAAGATCATGGAGAAAATTGTGGATTGCAGCTTTGGAGGGTCTTTAGGACTACTGGGTACTTGGCAGGACAGAGCTGTGTGATTTATTCTGGTCCACAGCAGAATTATGAATCCTTAGCTAAAAATCTGTGTTGTCATCCATGATCACTTCACAAAGCTTTACCCAGCTCTGTAAGGTACCATGATCACTTCACAAAGCTTTACCCAGCTCTGTAAGGTACTGGGCACCTTGTCCTTAACCAGTTCAGTCTGCTGTGTCCTTCTCACTGCTGCGTGGTGCCCTTGTGTTCTGTCATCTGCCACTTCTATTTCTGTAACATGTGTTAAACTGTCACGGTTGGGTTTGTGCTTATTTTACAGAAAAATTGTATTATTCAGGTCCGTTGCAACATCCTTCTAGAAGGAAAATTATTAAGCCTTGTGTCTTAGAAGTAACAATAATGATGATGAGAATAGTAATAATAAGCACTAAAATGTAAAGGCCCTTTGCTATAATATAGCTTCAGACTATAATAGAGAGAGCACTTTCTCAGAATCCTTAGTTACGGATATTTGTCTGGTTTTGTTTTTTCTAGAATAGCATGTTTCACCCAAAGTACACTGGAGAGGAGCAAGCCTGTACTGTGAAGAATCTCAGAAGAAGCACACAGTATAAATTCAGGGTAAAATCTTTTTCCTCTTGTCACTGTGTAATATTTTCTGTGTTGGGTTTTTTCCAGGAATGGTAGGGATCCTTTAGTACTACCTGCAAATTGGAGTCATCAAATGCAAATTTACTTTATACTGTGACCTAATAGATTAAACTGTTGTAGTTTTACTTTTATCACAGGGGAGATGCTTATTGCTCAGTCTCTTTAAAACAAGCATAGTTCTTAATACCATGTACTGTCAGGTGTGATGTTGGAAAAGTGCAACTCGGGATGTGAAGTGCTTGTAGTTTGCTGCATTGCTCCCCAAAAACCTGACCCATGGTCACAAAACCAATCTCACTTCTACGCAATGGAGCAAACACTGTAAGCTCCATTGTTGTGCACAGCTTCCTTCCCCAGCTCAGTGGCCTGTCCTCCCCTGACATGCAGAAATTGAAGCTTTTCTATCTCATAAGCACATGTGGCTGGTTTTGGAGGTGGTTTTTAGCAGCAAGTGTTGGTGTCTCCTGTTCTGTGGGTGATCCTTCTCAAGAGAGAATGCTCTGAAGTCTTCTTGCAAACACAAAATTCAGTCATCTGCCTCACTGCTGCCAAAGCAATCAAGCACAACACAAGTGCTGGGTGCTGCTATCGAGGAGCAGACTGTGTGTTTTTTACCAGACAGCGTGTGGTGTGGCTGTCTGTTCATCCCCAAGGCCAGCCTGTCCATCCGTCCATAGCAGCTCAGCAAAGCCAGGAGCTGTGCATGGCTCTACAAGGTAGTGTTTGGCTGTGCTGTCCTGAGTGCTGGCATCCCTCCAGAGATGACAAGGAGCTGTCTGTAAAGCCAATATCCATCATGCCAACATGAAATCGTATCTGGAAGCAGCTTCATGTTGTTGTAAACAGCAGGGACTGAAGGATGCCATGGGTTTGTGTCAGTTCAGTCATTTGGCTTCTGTAGGCTATTCAGGGGCAGCAAAAAATACAGCTTTACTGATAGACTCATTTAAATCCTTAAAACCAACTTTGGATACTCTTTGACAGAAGACCTTGTGAAGTTGTGTGAAGAACTACCCGAAGAATCGGAAAGTTGTGGTGTTGCTCAAAGATGGTGCCTTTAAAGTTCAGCATTGTAAAAGCTTCAGTGGCTGTCTTACAGAAAAGGACAGTTAGCGCTTCTCTGCAGCCCTGCTTTTGAATTAAACGTGAATTTTACAAATCTGAGTTGATACCAGAGCAAACTTGTCACCTCATGTCAGTGGCTACAAGCACAACACTGATCTGACTCAACACGGAGATGTTCTCTTGTTGCATGCGTATCAGCATTAATTCGCTACAGGACTTGGGGAAGGATCCCCAAAACTATAAAACAACACCAGCAAAACCAAACACAGACACCCTGGAATGACAACAGTGTTTTAAAACTTGTGGTGGGGACTACTGGCTTGTCTTTGAACCTGGGCAAAATACGGTGCTTTGGAGAACCCCCTTAATAATAAAGAATGATGGAGATAATTTAATTCATACCAGACAATGTTTGCTTACAGAGAAGACACCTTGCTAAAATTTTTGATGAAATAAAGGTTGGTTAATTAAAGTGGCAATGGCAGTGTAGTACATTGTTGTAAAGGCATTTGTTCAATACCAGGTGAGGTTTTGGCACAGAAGGGCAAATGATACCAACAGAACAACGTGCAGTAATTTCATTCTCTGAAATGTGTGAAGTGTCAGCACAGAAGGGGATCGCCAATGGCTGTTTCTAGTGAGGTTCCACAAAAAGCAGCGCTGTGTATACTGTTTCATAATCTTATCAGTGACCTGGAAACAAAGTTTTATTTTTATTCCATGTAAGAGGATGGGGGACTCTAGGCTGGGGAGGCTGTGGCTCTGACAAGTTCCTCCTTGAACAATCAATTTAATTGGAATTTTCAGTTCCTGCCAGGCTAGTGCAGTCTTCAGCTGTATACATAGGGGAAATGTTTAAATATTGCATTACATTAGTAGCTCACTCTGATTCCCTAGAGCTGTTACTGGGATATTTGTCTAGCTCATGTATCTGGTGTTCATGGCAAGATGTCTTAAAGTGAAGAATAGTCAGAGAAGAACCGAGAGATGATACACAGGAGTTGATAGTGGCTTTAGTGACTTGTTTAAAGCAAGCATACTTTTTGGCCTTAAAAGTTACAAGTAGTTTTCCTCAGATGCCTGTGTTAGGAGAGAGGATAGAAATGACTGCTCCTGAGAATAACAGAGCTTCCCAAGTGGAAAAGTTCCTGCTAGCTTATATTTACAGTTAGCAATTATAATACATATTTTATTACTCACTTCTTGGCAGTGGATCTTTGTCCCAGAGACTAGTGTGAGCTAATAGAGCTCTCAGCAGCCGCAAAACATAGGACCATTTGGGGTTTCTTGTATGATCTTGATCTGCTCAGTCTCCTGGCTAGGTCCTCATGTCTTAGGTTAGCAACCTTTTTCCTGAAGTCAGGAGAAGGTGCTCTTGAGTAGAAACAAAGGATTTGGCTGAGAGTTTTCTTTGTGCACATCCTGCTCATTTCAGTGGTTGTAGATTATGTTTCTTGTTTGCATGTCATCCTATTTAAGCTTTTAATTATGATTACTGATACTGTGAATTAATTTGTTTTAAATAGCAATTTGAAATACAACCAAAACAAAAATAGCATAGTTGTTATCATTTTAGTCTTTTATGAGTAAATAACTGCTACATGACTCTTTTTTTAAGGGAAAAATAGCAGTGCTCTTGTCTTAAACATGTCATGATCTGTTGCTAGTGGAGGGAAGGAAGAAACCCATGTGGTTTGTAAGGAAACAACATGGCAATTTAACATCTGTTATTATATCCTACACACTTTGTTGTGTGGGGATGTGATATACTTTTCAGTTTAATGATATTTGTGCAATTGCTAAAACAAGTCTCATCCAGAACTGTCAGAAAAACAGTTACAGTAAACAATGGTAAACTTGTGGTGGTTTTGTTTCAGCTGTTTGCTTCTAATGTGGAAGGAAAGAGTTCTCCCAGCGAAGTGTTGGTCTGTACAACAAGCCCGGACAGGCCAGGACCTCCAGCCAGACCCGTTATTAAGGGGCCAGTAACGTCTCATGGCTTTAGTGTGAAGTGGGGTAAGCCAGTTCAGTTTGTCATAGTAGAGCTTTTCTGGGTCATAATAAATTCTAACAAAATTATGTAAGTATTAAATATGTATTAGAACTTTGTTTTTTCATGCTGCTTCTCATCAGTAAACTTATTTGGAGAGCTTTCCAACTTAATTTGTTTTAACATTTTAAAAATTTTGTGGAAACTCTTACGTTTCAGAATCAAAAATGTAGATTGTTGTTATTGACTAACTGGCACTCAAGTGCATCTTCAACCTTTTCACCTTACATTTCTTGTCCCGTTGCAGCATCATTCCAGCCGCTTCCTTCATCGATGGACAAGCCTCTATGCTGCATCTTTTTCAATGCTTTTTCCATAATTATGTTTGTGGCGTTATTATCCAGCTGCCTTATTCTGACTCATGCAGAAAACTAATGTCTGCTATATACTTATATTATAAATTCCTTAGTGTAGTTACTGTGGGGGAGTTTATGGAGGAGAAGGAGCAGAATCAGAAAAAGCTTCTGTATCGAGTGTTATATTTCACTCCTAATCTTGACAAATTACCTTATTTTTTCAGATCCTCCACAGGATAACGGTGGCTCAGAAATCCTGAAGTATCTACTAGAGATTTCTCAAGGAAGTCCAGAAGGTAAAGTTGAAACAAGTTGCCTCCGTTTCATTCTGTTATGGCTGCTATAAAGAAGTTCTGACCCTTTGGGCTAATATTTTATTAATGCACTTATGCTCTACATATGATTGAAACTGAGTTATGTACATGCAGGTTTTGAGAGAGAATTTTGGTTGGGTTTTCGGGAGGTTTTGGTGTGGCTTTTTTTAAGTATGCTCTTTTTCTTTTCTACTGGTAGAATTTTAGGCTCTATTGATGAACCTGCTGTTGGGTTTAATATATTTAATATGTTTTAAAAATACTTGTATATGTGTCTATGTATATGTATGTCTTTTAGGATAGAGTACCATTCATAGTAATATTAACACTAATGACTTCCCTGAAATACATCAGTTGTGGATGACTACCTTAAGGATTTTCCTAGACACTTCTGAACGTGTTGCATTATTCTTCTCTAAACTTGGATGTATCTCCTTTTTTAGCAAATCAGTGGGAAGTGGCATATAGTGGATCAGCTACAGAATATACCTGTACTCACTTGAAACCAGGCACTTTGTATAAACTCCGGGCATGCTGTATTAGCACTGGTGGACACAGTCAGGTAAGTATTGTTTAACAGTAAGGACTATTGGGTTTATATTTTTCAGAGATTTATCCCCTATTTTTGGTAAAAGATTTCTTTAAAAATAAGGTGAATATTTTTCCTGTAGCACAGTAAACCTACACTTTACTGATTACATTTAATCTTATGTTGCAAGTTGGTGAATTTTACAAGACTTCTGTCTACCTGATGAGATTTTTTCAGGCAGATTGCAGTATAATGAGATTAGGTTTCTTCAAAACCAAATTGTAGGTGTTTATACTTACACTAGAGAAGACCATGCTGTTTATCTGATCTGGCTACTTGCTTGAGAAAGGCCATAGACTTTTGTGTACATGAGCCTGTACTGACAAGCTGGGCATGCAGTAGGGGTAGTTTGTTGTAATAATTAATTACCTTTCACATGTCTGAATTCTTCTTTAAATTTTTGGGTTCCATTTTCCAGATGCTGATTCTTGTCATTCCCTCCTTTGAATTAAAATAATTTCAGTGCCTACACTTTTATTCCTCTTGCTTTCTTTTTTTTTTCTTTTTTTTTTTTTAATGATTGAGTACCTTAGGCTTGATATTATTATGAAAATTGAAATTAAGAACCCAATAACATTAGCCATCAAAGTTTCCTATGCTACAGTTGTGAGTATGCTAATGAAAGAACTCTATTATAAATTGCATTTATAAGTAACATGCTTGATAGCATCTCCTAGTCTTTATTGTTTAACATGAATTTCTAATAAGTGGTTGTTTTAGGAAACAATTTCTTGTGCCACTTTCTAATCATACGTCACTTTGTAGGCAGTAATTGTACCAGAGAGCTAACTTTAGCTCTTGTTCTCTTCCAGTGTTCTGAAAGTTTACCTGTCCGTACACTAAGTGTTGCACCTGGTCACTGTCGGCCACCAAGAGTGTTGGGGAAGCCGAAGCACAAAGAAATACAGCTACAATGGGGTAAGCTGGTAGAGCATTTCACTGTTGATGATGTGATGTTGATGCTTTGATCTTGATGGTTAGTTGCTGAACTTGCTTTAGTTTTATTTCTATTGTTAGACCTTGTGAAAAGTTCCAGTGTATTCTGTTCACTGAGAAGTACAAAGTCAAGTGAAGTTTGTGCAAGTCAGAAATACATCTTCTCATCAACTGCTGTGGCTCTGTATTGGGTTTCTGAACTTAGCTGTCCTCCAGCTGTCTTTTAGGCCTGATACTGTGCTCCTACTTTTGTTTTAGTTGGGACCTGTCTCTATATCGGATCTATAAAGTATCAGCTATTTTAGAATATCTGTACTTTTATTGCAAAAACACCATGTGATTCAAGATCTTTTTTATTCCTTTGTAATACTGACTTAGCAGAAGCAGGTTGCTACTTCTAATATAGGACTTAAACAGGAGAGATTTAGGTTAGATATAAAGAAGCTCTTTACTGTGAAGAGTGGTGAGGCACTGAAACAGGTTACCTAAGGAAATTGTGAATGCTCCATCCCTGTCAGTGTTCAAGGCCTGATTGGATGGGGTTTGGAGAAACCTGGTCTAGTGGAAAGTGTCCCTGCCCGTGGCGGGGGGCTTGGAATGAAATGATCTTAAGGTCCTTTCCAACCTGAACTGTTCTATGATTCTATGACTTCTCTCAGAAATTCGAGTTAGAACATTTTGAGGATTTTGGGTGGCTTTTAAACCCTGAGCCACAGTATAACATGCAGAGTCCGTTGGACACCTGCAATTTTGCAAAGAACTTGGACCATGGAATGATACTAGACTGCAAAAAAAATTGCACATTTTTAGAATACAATGTACAAGCCAGTATCCAAAAGATTGTTTTTTCTTTACCATGATAATCTTGCAGCATTCAGGATTCTTTGCTGCATAATTCATTAAGATAAGTTTTAGAGCAGTATGATTTCTAAGTGACAAATGCATCTCAACACCAGCATAAATTCCTCTGTGCATCCAAGATACCATGTTGTTTCCTGAATGCTTACGCTATCCCTGTTGTGGTGGAACATTGCTTTTCAGAACCCCAGGCAGGTTGATTCTGCGGTACTGTCTTGTAAAATAACATGCAAATAGTGTCAAATATATTGTTTTCATGGAGAAAAAGGTGCCCACAACAAAACAGATAACAGACATAGAAAACAAATTTAGCTTTCCAAAAAGCTTATTCCAGGTGAAGCGCAGAGATGTAGAATCTCATAAATGTTAGCAGTGTGACTAATAAAGTTCAAGCATGGTGGTTGTTCGTACTTTTATTGGGTGTTGAAGAGGTGGGGCTTTGCCAGAAATCCTACATACAAGCAGTAGTTTTGGAGTGCGCATGACCCACCTCTGCCTGTTTCCAGCTGTAGCCAGAAGCTAAGATTGGGTGAGAGAGCCACCATGTGCTTTCTTATTTTTCTATCCCAGAAAGGGTGTATTCAGCGCTAGTCCTATGCTTCATGCAGCTTCCTATACATTTGTCTCCTGCCTCAGTGACAATTTCTTTGCATGCAACACCACTTTTGAGACTGGAGAAAAGCAGCAGAGTACTTTCTTTTTTCATCCTCAGAAGATGATAGTAACTACCATGTTCTGCTTAAAAAGTAGATGGGCACCTCCTGGCGTCAAATATGACTTCTCAGGGTAGCAGATCATTGCCTTGGGGGAGGTGCTTCTCATGCATGGAATAATCTGACCTGGTGAATATGTAGGGCTAAGAGTAATTTTATTAATTTGCTTTAAAATTCTCAATCATGTACATGGATGAGATACTGCAGGTAAGGCATCTATTGAAGAGGGTAATCATTTTTGGTAGTGTGCATGTGTGTAGATATATGTGCAGGTATATATCTACGCACATGTACTTCTGTGGTATATGAAATAAAAAATGACCTTTCCTGGCATGCATCCTTTGTTCTTAATGAATGATATGATTTCTTTCTAGATGTCCCTCCATCAGAAAGTGGCTGTCCCATCTCAGAGTATAGTGTAGAAATGACAGAACCTGAGGAAGTAGTTTCTGAAGTGTACCATGGGCCTGATCTGGAGTGCACCATCAGCAACCTTCTTCCTGGAGCAACATACCGGTTCAGAGTGAGAGCTCTGAATGATGGTGGGGTACGTGCAGAGTGCCAGAATGTGCTTTGACTTTTTCTCACTGTGGTACTGTGTCCAAGATGGAGAGTGACTGTGTTAATGCTGGTGATCAGATAGGTGATAGGGAGATAGGCAAAAGAAAATGAAGTGAGAAATGCTTAAAGGAACTTCAGAGGAAGAGCTGCAGTTTTAAATCTGGTACTCTTTTAAAAGGAAGTTTTATCTAGTAATATGATTTGACTGGCCAAAATCAGCTGCACCAAAATGTGCAAAATCCCTGCTAAAAGTCCTATCTGCTTATGAGGAGACCTCTATATATTCCCCTCCCATCAAATTCTTTCTTTTTTCTTGGAAGATCTTATTGATTCAGTCAGGTTTGAATCAGTTACACTTGGCTTTGTAAGAGCATCTTTCCAAAGGCCTTTTATAAAGGCAGTCCCAGCAAGAGTACATGGATGTTGATGTGTTTATTCCAAGGGAATCTTTATGACAGAGATAACAAGGTTTAAAGTTATTCACTTACATGGAGTTAGAATCATAGAATAGTTAGGGTTGGAATGAACCTTAAGATCACTAAGTTCCAAGCCCCCTGCCATGGGTGGGAACACCTCACACTAAACCATATCACCCAAGGCCTCGTCCAGCCTGGTCTTGAACACTGCCAGGGATGGAGCATTCACAACCTCCCTGGGCAACCCATCCAGTGCCTTACCACCCTCACAGTAAAGAACTTCTTCCTTATATCCAATCTAAACTTCCCCTGTTTAAGTTTTAACCTGTTACCCCCTGTCCTGTCACTACAGTCTCTAATGAAGAGTCCATCCCCAGCATCCTTGTAAGGCCCCCTTCAGACACTGGAAGGCTGCTATGAGGTCTCCCACACAGCGTTCTCTTCTCCAGGCTGAACAGCCCCAACTTTCTCAGCCTGTCTTCATACCGGAGGTGCTCCAGTCCCCTGATCATCCTCGTGGCCCTTCTCTGGACTTGTTCCAACAGTTCCATGTCCTTTTTATGTTGAGGACACCAGAACTGCACACAACACTCCAGGTGAGGTCTCATGAGAGCAGAGTAAAGGGGCAGGATCACCTCCTTCGACCTGCTGGTCATGCTCCTTTTGATGCAGCCCAGGATACGGTTGGTTTTCTGGGCTGTGAGCACACACTGAAGCCGGCTCATGTTCATTTTCTCATCAGTCAACACCCCCAAGTCCTTCTCCGCAGGGCTGCTCTGAATCTCTTCTCTGTTTAACCTGTAGCTGTGCCTGGGATTGTTCCGGCCCAGGTGTAGGACCTTGCACTTGGCATGGTTAAACTTCATGAGGTTGGCATCAGCCCACCTCACAAGCGTGTCAAGGTCCCTCTGGATGGCATTCCTTCCCTCCAGTGTGTCAACCCAACCACACAGCTTGGTGTCATCGGCAAACTTGCTGAGGGCGCACTCAATCCCACTGTCCATGTCAGCGACGAAGACGTTAAACGAGACCGGTCCCAACACCGATCCCTGAGGGACACCACTCGTTACTGGTCTCCAGCTGGACATTGAGCCATTGACCACAACTCTTTGTGTGTGGCCATCCAGCCAGTTCTTTATCCACTGAGTGGTCCATCCATCAAATTGATGTCTGTCCAATTTAGAGACAAGGATGTCTTGTGGAACAGTGTCAAACGCTTTACACAAGTCCAGGTAGATGACATCAACTGCTCTACCCCTGTCCATCAGTTCTGTAGCCCCATCATAGAAGGCCACCAGATTGGTCAGGCAGGATTTCCCCTTAGTGAAGCCATGCTGGCTGTCACCGAGCACCTTGTTGTTTTTCATGTGCCTTAGCATGCCTTCCAGGAGAATCTGCTCCAAGATTTTGCCAGGCACAGAGGTGAGACTGACTGGTCTGTAATTCCCCGGGTCATCCATTTTCCCCTTCTTGAAAATGGAGGTTATATTTCCCTTTTTCCAGTCATCGGGATCTTCACCTGACTGCCATGATTTCTCAAATATGATGAACAGTGGCTCAGCAACTTCATTCGCCAGCTCCTTCAGAACCTGCAGATGGATTTCATCAGGTCCCATGGACTTGTGCATGTTCAGGTTCTTAAGATGATCTCGAACCAGATCCTCTCCTACAGTGGGCCCAAGATCTTCATTCTCACAGTCCCTGCATCTGCCTTCCAAGACTTGGGTGGTGTGATCAGAGCATTTGCCAGTGAAGACTGAGGCAAAGAAGTCATTAAGAACCTCAGGCTTCTCCAAATCCAGGGTAGCCAGTTCTCCCAGTAGCTTCCAGAGGGGGCCCACGTTGTCCATATTCTTTTATTTTCAGTGTACCTATAGAATCCCTTCCTGTTATCTTTCACATCCCTATCCAAGTTTAATTCTAACTGGGCCTTAGCTTTCCTAACCTGGTCCCTAGCTTCCCAGACAACATCCCTGTATTCATCCCAGGCTGCCTGTCCTTGCTTCCACCTTTTATAAGCCTCTTTTTTTCCTTTGAATTTTCCTAAGCAGCTCCTTATCCATCCAAGGAGGTCTCCTGGCCCTCCTGCTGCACTTCCTTCTAGTTGGGACACAACACTCCTGAGCTTGTAGCAGGTGATCCTTGAATATTGACCAAGAGTCTTGGGCCCCCCTGCCCTCTAGAGCTATATCCCATGGAACCTCACTAAGCAGGTTCCTGAAGAGTTTTGTTAAAACTTAAGTTAGGTATTAGAAAAATATGCAAGAGTGTTAAACTGTTTTGTCTTTAAAATGTCCTTTTTTTTTTTTTTTTTTTTGTGAAACACAAAGTAAATACATGTGGAAAGACTGGATTTACTTACTGGAATGGAAGCCATTGCCCACCCTGTAGTTTTGGATATATGATGCCTTGCCTTTTTTTTTTTTTTCTCCTTTTGCTTTAATGGTAAAACAGTGTTTAAAGTTGCAAAGCATTTCTGGTCCTACCCTTTGTTAAATGAGGTGTCTGGTTTGGGTTTTGATTGGGGCTTTTTACCAACCGAGATGCAGAATATAGGGGGGTGTCCTTTACCAGTTGCAAACACCTTTCTTCCTCCCATTCAGAAAACGGAAGTAGTCAATAAATGAGATTTTTTGGAGTGTGCATTCTTTGTAATTCAAACAAAGTGAGCAGTTTTGGCCTTTCTTAATAGCATAAATACTGATACATTTTGTTGAGGTTCATACATTTCTGGGGTTCATAATTTCAGTGTTGTTCAGCACTTGTAGTGGCTCATTTTTTTCATAGTTGCTAGTATTGCATTCCAGAATAAGTAAATCCCAGTGTTTTTCCTCTCATTGCTTCCAGCAAAGTTCCTTTGTTCTGGAGAATGATTTTTAATTAGCTTGGGGATGTGCTGAACAAACTTCATTATCCCACTCAAGAAGCCTCAGAAAAAGGCTATTTCTATTGTTATCTCTCCCGTCCTCACACTGCTGGCTGAAGACAGTTTTCCAGACTCTTGAAAATTGTCTTTTCTTTTGCTAACATGCATTTAAATTACTCTTCTACCAAGGGCTCAAAAGTTGTCTGGGCAGGTGGCTTAGCTGCCTGTGGAGCTAGGCCATAGGCCGTGTGTGTGCCTCATGCCCCTGCATGTTGAACCCAGGGCTCCATCACATGCTGACCATTCGTAATTAACATGTAGCAGGCATTTTATATAAAAGAAGCTGGATTTGGACTCCAGTATGTGCTTTACTATTGCTGTGCTCGCTCTTAACATCCACGAGAAGTCAGTTATGCTGGACTATTTCACAGACATATGAACACATTAAGGTAAGGCAGAGGGACACAAACTGTTCCTCAGTTGCTGAGTGCACATTCTCACTCTTAGGTAAGTTGGAGGTGGCTTAGGCTCTCATGGACACTCATTGCCGCTTAGGAGGATTTACATGCTATCTGCTCATACCTGAACTTACCTCACCTTTTAACATTGCGGTAATTCACCTATCTCATACTGAGCTCTGGTGCCGAATGTTGGAAGCCTGGTCTACCTTTGAGAAAGTTTATTGCAAGTTTGTATGCTGTTCTTGGAAAGCCTTTGAAGAATGTGAGATGGGTGTATGCTTATATATTAATGTACAGACACCTTGTTCCCTTCTAGTACGGGCCATATTCAGAAGCTACAGAAGTCACCACAGCAGCAGGACCGCCTGGCCAGTGCAGAGCACCTTCCCTGTCCTTTCTGTCCGACACATGTGTACTTATAAGCTGGGAGGTAAGTTGGGTGCCCTCATTGTTTCATTTTCGTTTTGCTTCTCCAAACTAATATGGCCACTTGAAAGCTAGATTGAGAGCTATTCAGAGGTTTGGAACTATTTTTTGTATTAAAAAAACCCTTTGTGGAAACTCTTCTGTTGTAGAAAATCGTCTTCTCTACTTTTCTCCATAAAAAATTATATAAAGTTGATTATGAGGCATCTCATAATCAGGATTCAGACACAAGACCTCCCTATACTGGCATCAGATGACAGAGGGCTGGTTGGGTAGAAATGCTCTCTACAGCCTTTTAGCATGTCAGCATGTCCTAGGGTGGAATTGTGAAGGCAAATATTTGATTTTGGCTGCAATTGGAGTCTCCAGTACGAAAATAACTGCACAAATGCTTATGATGTACGTTTTTTCCTCAAAAGTGTTTGTCTCTTCCCCAAATATTTACTTTTGTTTTAGTTTGTGTTCATTCCTTCTCCATTCTGCAGAACCTTGGACATTGGACTCTTAAAATCAGTCTTATCTGAAATGCTGAGAGAAGTTAATAAGGGTCACTAAAAAAAAAACAAAAACAAAACAACAGAAAAACATGTAATTAAGGAAGAAAGGAAAGACGTTGTCATAAAGAACATGATACGGAGCAGTGGGGCTGTAGTTCTGTCATAGACTGCCTTTGAAAACCTAGCAGCCGTTCCAGCCATGCATCAGTTGGGTCCTTCCATAAAGGGATGCCCCTGGGAGAAAGAAGTTGGTAACATTCATCAGATGCTCAAATAAATAAATTGTGCTAACAACCATTTCTAGATAAAAACATAAACTGAGTTTAATTTTATAGTGGAGTAGGTGCGGTTTGTGTAGGTTGAGGATATTTGTTAATATTTCTTGCAACATTTTGTGGCACTAAGCTAGAAGTTACACTGAACTTTTAAATGCTACCTTTTAGTAAGAGTATGAATGTACAGGCATTTGCTTTTCCCAGCCATGAGCCAATGCAGCAGTGTTTCTGGTAGGCTCTGTGTTTATATGCAGGATATATTTGTTTGTTCTAGCTAAAAATGAAGCTGTGGAAGGAGTAATGTGGTTTGCAATGGTTATGTTTTCTTAAAGAGTCTACCATTTTTTGGCTGATATGAATATGAAGGAAAAACAGTGGAGGACTGTGGAGCTTTTTGTCTGGCTACAGAGCACACCGTGGTGCCCACTGTACCTTTTTTGCACCTTGATTTAAAACACTGGCTTAGCAGTTCTGAATGCTGCTACTAAAATAGCCGGATGCTCAGAGGCAGAGCTAGGGAAGCCCCTGTGCGTGCAGAGGCTGGTCACTGTGGCGTGCAGTGATGCCCTGGATCTATTTACTGAAAATCACTCCTTGCATGCTGTAATCACAAAGTCTTTGTCATATCCTAGGCCACAGTTCTGCACGTAGAGCAGTGATTCTCTGAGCTGCTTCAAGCCACACAGTGCAGTTCTAGGTAGTTCTGGTAAAAACACTAAGTATTTTCGTTTTGGAACCTTGTCATTATTGCTGCAGTAGCTCATCTCCAGCAAATTCAGGTATTTATTCCATGTTCCCCTAGACTTCAGGATGATAAAAGCATTGCCGTGAGGACATATGGAACCCGTAGGAGTGTCGCTGTGGACATTAATGTACCCAGGTCCACAGTCCCGTGTCCCATACCGGGACCATTTGCTTGATGGGAGACTTTCACTGAAAACTGCAGACAAGCTTTTCAGTTGTTGAGGTTGTTCTTTTCTCAGTAAGTTTTCTCAGTGAGTAACTACTTCAGCATTGACAGGTAGCTCTTCCACAGCTGTGTTTTGATCACTCGGCTAGACTACACTAGATTGATGGGATTTTTGTGTTCTGCACAATTGTGTTTCTGCCAAGCCAGTGGAGAGACAATTTATTCCTGAGTATCCAGATGAAAAGCAAAGTAGCTGTGTACACTTTCTCGTTTCTGTGAATTCCCGTCAGGTAATTTCTGCGCAGAATTGGACTGTTTCAGTAACCTAGTAGAGAAACTAATTCAGCGCTTTTCCCGTCACAGCAGTAATGGTGTATTAATTTAAAAAATAGGTTGGTTTGTTTCCCATGTACTTTATTCCATACGCAGCAAAACACAGAGATCTGAACTGAACCACATAAATATTTGTGTTGCAGAGTCTTGAATGTTCTGGTGCTGACATCTCTGAATACAGATTAGAGTGGGGAGAAGATGAGGAATCTCTAGAACCGGTATATAATGGCACAGATACCTGTTTTGAAATCAGTGAATTGTCAGCGGCAGCGCATTACTGCTGTAGGCTACAGGTATGGAAGTTACGAGGTTTTGCATGCTTTGCAATCTAAGATGTAAATGTTTTCTTTCCACTGTGTTTTTAGTTTTATCATTAGCCACTATGAGGTTATGTGTTTTGTGAGTCAGAAGGTATGTTTATTTTAAATAATGCAGACTGTTGCTGTATAACTGAACAGTTTAGATTCTGCACAATTCAAAGTGATAGAGAATCAGTGTGACTTTTACCTCTCAAAAGTTGCTCTTTTGTATCATGTGATTTATTTCAGTAAATAATGCTTTTAACAGCCACTTTGCCCTCTGGTATTAGACCAGAATTATGTTTTAGAAAAAAAAAAAAAAAGTTTTTTTCTTGATAATGAGATGTAACATCTACCTCCCAACTGAATGTTGAAGATTCTCTTAGCTTAAATAGTAAACTCAACGTCTGTTTCATTTATCAAATAAAGCGAACCAGCTGAGTAGATTCCAACGTATATAGGAGGTGGTAACTGCCAGAAAGTGAGTCTTCATCTTTATAATTTTTTCTCTTAGGTTTGTAAGAGAGGATTTCATACAGAGTCCCTGTATGATTTCTTTTTCTTTGATCTCTTTCTCTCCTGTTATTTTCAATAAAAAGTAGCAGAATATGTTTCTTTTATATATATATGAAAATAAAAATATAGCGTTTCTCCTTTAAGTCTACTGAAAAATAAATGAAAAATAAAGTAAGTTGGAGTGAAGTAAAAATACTTTTTACCCAAGACACTTTTCCACAAGATTTATTTGTATGTGAAGACAGAATACCACCAGTAACCCAACCAAAAGTTCATGTATCCACCCAACTGGCAACATGTGGGCCACCCAGGATTATTTCTTTGATCAAGGACAACATGCTTCTGTCGAGTGTTTCATTCTTGGGTTTGGTTGGGTTTTTTTTTAACAGGACATAGATTTTTTAACTTTATTTTTTTTTATTTATGAAGTAGCCTTTGAGCAGCTGGCCAGCAGCCAAAGAGCTAGGGCCCCACAGCTCTAAGTACGCTCAACTGCATTTTCTGGTCATAGCTGAGTGTCTACCTTGCACTGTTGAGGAAGGCGAATTGAAAGAGCATGTGTGAGTGCCTTGGAAGTCTGAGCCAGAAAGCGCCCCTTGTTTGCGCAAGAGGGAAAGCATTCAACATCCACTGGGCAGGAAGGAGACTGTGAGACCACTTCTGCGGTGAGCAGCAGGGAGCTGAAGGAGATTTTCATGTTAAAAATGGAAACAGCTGGCTCTATAGCACCTTTGATTTCAAGTGGGCATTTATTTTAAATTACCTGCCACAAAAATGTTGCACAACTGTAGCCAGCTTTTAACACAGCCCATATCTAATTCAAAGGCAGAAGTTAAATGAAATGTACAACGGCATTAAGACATTTTCTTGAAGTCCGTCAGTGACCCCTGCATTACTTTGTAGAGGGCTTCATCCTCTGGATCTCATCTGTGTACTATATGATTGTTATAAGATACACTGGAACTTTTAAACAATTACACACAAAAGAAGAACCAAGTATGTATAGCAGACAAAGACGGAAAGTTAAATAGTTACAGAAATTTTAATCTTTTAAAACAAAAATGAGAGGTTAATAGCTTGTTTTCTTATCTGTTAGCAGCTTTAAAAGAAAAATCTTTTGCTTTTTTAGAAATGAAGATACTCCAAACCGCATTGACTTTGCCTTCCAATAAACACACAGTATTGCTACCTCAATCTACAGTAACTCAATAAAAAGGAGAGAATTGAGCAATCAGGCATATATAACTGCAGGGCAGACAATTGTCTTTACTGTTGCTCAGCTTTTTTCCTGTAATGAATATTCCTGAAAAAAAATTGTGACTTCTGCAAAGGGAAATATTGTGTCATTTAGGGGTGGTGGGGAGAAGTATCTAGGAAGAAAAGAATAATGAAATTCCCACTGGTTATGATGATGAGGTTCACCAATAAAGCAGTTAAAAGCACCACTGAAAATAAATTGCTTGGAGCAAGATACAGATTGCCAAACGCTGGTTTAGAGGTAAGACAAATAATATCATTGGCAGACCACAAAACAAGGCTCACTTTTAACAGCTCTAGGAGTGCTTCACCAAATAAAAGATGACCCTGGAGCAGGATTTGTTTTGAAGGGCTTTTTAAAGGCTGACAGATATAACTTTATTATCTCTTTCTTCAATTGAACAAAATGCCTCCTGGAGAAACAGAACACAGCTTTGCGTTTGTATTATGCATAACAGAAATAAGTCATTTACTACAGTTAATCATAGATAAGAAATCAAGCAATTATTTGATGTGTCCTTTCATTGCCATCATAGTTCTACTGGCAACGTTGTAAACCTGGATTTTCTAATTAATTCTCATCTGGTGGGAGAATCTGGGCTCACTTTTCCAAGCACAGAGGAAGTAAGGATGGTGGACAATGCTGGGCAATGTGGAAGCTGCTTTCAGAGGTCTGTGCCTTTTGGACCTCATTGTAGCTCAGCCTGTATATAATATCCTGTCATGAGGTCTGGCTGTACCTTGTGGGCTAGCAGCACACTGTACCGTATCAGGACAAACTCAGCTCAAGGGAAGGTAGTATGGTCCCTTACATGCCATTCATGAGAACCTAGTGTTTCTAAGTAGCAGGCATGAGTCCTGCTTTAGAGAATAAGCTAGCAGTACTTTTCCTCTGAAAAATCCTTGCAACTCTTCCAGGTTGCACAGTTCGTTATTATGAACTTGATAGACATGTGAAAGAGAATATTTATCCTGTAAAAATACGGGGTTTTTTTACACACAGGCTATTAACCAGGCAGGAGCTGGACCTTACAGTGATGTGGTAACCTGCCGAATCCCCGCATCTGTGCCTGATGCAGTCTGTACGCTCTCCGTGCTGGAGGATGAGCATGTGGATGCCTGTCAGCATTCACCCTCTGTGTGCCTTGTACTGAACTGGGAAGAACCATGCAATAATGGAGCTGAGATTACATCATACAACATTGACCTGGGTGACATCAGCATTCCAGTAGGGAATGTTACAAGTTATGTTATCACTAATTTGCTGCCAGAAACCTCATACCGGTGAGTACAACTTTTTTTGATGTGGTACAAAACTCTGAGGATGAGATCACGCACTTTAATTTTATGTAGAAAATGTTTATGGCATATGGATTCAGTTAAATAAACAAGTAAACCAGCAACCAAACCAACCAACCTGGGGAGAATGGAAATCTGCAATAATTCCTTTATGGAATGAATTGCGGTAGTTCATGTTTAAATATTGCTTCATCCCCACCTTCTTCCTCTTTCTCCTCTCCTTGCATATCTCTGACCTTTTTAAGTTGCTCTTTGAAGGTGAGGTTACACTGGTAGGTAAATAAATTTTAAAGATGGGAAAGTACTAAAATTACAATGTCACATCTTCTGGTTTTTCAGATGTATAGTGTTACTGTTTCAGGGACTTATATTACAAACGATATTGACCCCAGTGAGGGGATAGCAATGTGCACACAATGAACTTTTATTTGTATAGCAACAGCTATTTTTTTTTGGCTTAGCACATGGAGATGAGTAAAAAGATAATGTGAATTTTAAACCAATTTCTTCATATTTCTTCAGAGTCTAAATTTCTAAGTGACATTGCCACCATTTTAGTATTACTATTATGTTCAGGCTCGTATGTTTTTTCCCTAACTGCCAATTAAAATAAAAATACGGTTCAGTGCAGGCAATGAACAGCAATACAGCAGAAGATGTGACAAAAGAAATTCTATTTAAAGTACTGCTCTAATAAAAACTGAAATCTGATTATCTGATTGCCCAGTTGTAAAATTAGACATAGTACAGATCTTCTGTAACATGTTTCTTTTTTGTTTGTATTCAGTGTCAAAATCCCACAGGTCTTGTGAAGTTTTAATCAAAAGTTCATTTCTCAGACTTTATCATGTACCCAAAACAGAGAACTTCTTGTAGCAAATACACAAATATGTATATTAGAAGTTATTTAAAGTGGGGAGCTTATGTTGCTTCCAGTGCCTAGTACTGTAGTTCCTGATCTTTGCCTAAAATATTTAGGTTTTAAAACCATGTAATAAAAACTAAAGATGTAGATTTATTTATGTATTTATATATATATATATATTTATATATATATATACCTCTAGAAAGCTGGGAAAAAAAAAAAGGCAGAATAGGAATTTGGTGATTCAGAACCCCTCTGTTCCTGATCACTCATAAATCCAGGACATGTCAATATGTTATCATTTTTATTGCCAGTTCTTCAGTGACTTGTAATGCTGTGATCCTTTTTTGCAAAGGCAGTAATGAAGTAAAAGTTTTCTCTAGTAGTCTTCTGTGTTTATTTAAGATCCTAATTTTGTGGTCAGTTTAATCTGGCATTGCTGTCGAAGGAAGCCTCTTGCATTGTGTCCTCCTTTATGCCATCTAAGGGCTATTACACCATTCCACACTGTAAAAACTGGTCTTTTTGAAAACTAATCATACTTCTTACATTGTAAATGATCAGAGAAGAAAGGAAGGGATAGAAAAGGATAGCACCACCTCTTCTAGCAGCTGTGCTCTACGCCAGTTCAAAGTGTTTGTGAAACTACTACACATGAGTAAAGCTGCACAACAGTTTGAGCAAATTCAGGTTGCTGTTGTCATGACTGTTCCATCTGTATGTTCTCACACGTTTCTCACTCTCTGCTTTGGCATTGGCATTGGCACTGGTACTTATGTGATCTTACTGTAAGCCAGACCAGGGAACCCAACTGATTGCAGACTAATCAAAAACCAAATAAACCTAATAAGAAGTTGATGAGTTTGTCTGTTGACTGGCCACTGAGCCATGGAACTTCATCATCTCTGGGCAGTGTCATTACTCCCTGGTTTCTCCTCATAGCAGGAGTCAAAACATCTAAAGCAAAATGAGAGCTTTGAGCAACCTAGTCAAGACAGCCAGACTGGACCGTCTAAGTTCTTCACTGAAGTCTTCCTACTTCAGTCTCTTTTTTAGCTGGTTCTTGGTTGTCTACAGCTTCCTTCAGGGAAACATCCTTGTCAGGATGGAAATGGAGATACAGAATGAAAGGATGGGCAGGACATTACTGTTCTTTATAATCATGCTGCAGTCTTGTCTGTGAAGCTCTTACTCCTGGTGCTGTGAAAAGTGTTGTTACACTAACATTATACTGAATTTTTTTTTCTTTTGCTTTCTTATTATTTTGTAAAAAGCATCATAGCAAATAAAATAATGTATTTTTAGTCAGGGAGTGTGGTTATCTCTGATCCGAATGAAAAGGCTAAAGCACAAGCATTAACTGCAGCTGTTCTATATATTATTGTGAAACGAAGTTCCTACCAAAAAAAAAAAAAATATTATGAAGAGCACAAACCAGTAGATGATTACTCAGAAATAATAATATATGAAGCTCTGTAATAAGAGAAAGAAACCCTCAAATCTTGCATGTCATGCCTATCAGGGAAGACAAGTGACTGCAGTGGAGTTGCAAAAGCATCTCACCTATAGTTTGAAGTATTTTTCTCCTAATGAAAATAGACATGTCAAAGTGGTTTTGCTGTCAATTGTTAACTCATATTTCTTTTTCAAGCCTATCTTGACACCTGTCTTTCACCAGGGAACATCTGTATCTGTAAGATGTTTATCAAGCCATATGCTAAAACATGATGGGTTTTTTGCCCTTCCTGTTTTAATCAAAGGACTGATGCAGAACATCACTGATTTCATTCTCTAAATGTGTTCACAATGTTTTTTTTTCTCATGTCAGCTTTGTTTACCTCAACAGGCTCTTTTCTCTGTCACAAGTTTATCCCCTGCTGTGTTTAAAAGCAGCAAATGTGTTGTCTTCCAGGCCATATTTTTCCTAGACTAAACAAGCCAAATACTGGCTTTGAGACTCTGAACTCTTGCTGAAGTTTCAGCAGAATTTGAAATAAATCAGCAAAGGGCTAATATGTTTTGGTTGCATTGGAATTTCACTGTCAATGCTTTTGTGGGAACCTGAAATTGAAAGCAAGTCTTGGCTATTAAGAATTCAAGACCAAAATTGGAAATGAACCTTGTTTTACATAGTGGTGATTCTAACAACATGTCTACATGTGTCCACCCCATTGAACTTGCTAGTTGAGGTCTGGCATTGCTTTGCTACTTCCAGCTTCTGTATGGGAATAACCATACATGAACAACTCTGAGTATACCCCAGCAAACTGCAGGCTCTTTGCTGAGATGGGCTCAAAGTTTGATGGTTTCTGTGTCTTAGTAGAAAATCCAGCCAACATGCCACAAGAAGGATTTGCATCCCAAAATACATTCAAGGCAGGAGGAACTGGGGCATGCTTCTGCCAATGTAGGGCTGATTTCAAGAGGACTTCTCCGATGTCAGACGCAGATCAGCATTACTTTTGCAAAAATCAGATGCCTCACAAAAGCACTGTATAAACATGGTTGCTGGTGAGCAGCTTCAGAAGTATGTTGGAGAGTTCCACAGTCTTTTGTTTTTATTGACATAGCCATGTAGCTCTGTAAGCTCCAATTTTAGGGTAATAGTACTTGGACCAGTTTTCTGTGAACTGATATAACTAGAAGTGAGTTAATAAATATTCCACAATAAATAAGTATTAAACAGTAACAGAAATACCAATTTTCTGTTACACTCTGTTCCCAAGCTTCACTTAATGCTCTCCATAGTTAATTGTGCTGTGCTGTTGAGATACTTCACTGCAGAATAACTTCTGATATTTCAGAATGCTTGTTTTCTTCTGAAGTTACATGGTTTACAGAAATACATAGTAGCGTTATTAAATTTTAATAGAAACACTTAATTTGGTTCAGGAATAAAAATTCTAGACATTTTAGATTTCTAAACAGTATCGAAGAAAAGATATTGTAAGATGGAGAGAGAAAAGTGCACATGGATGCTCATGTTAGCAATGCTTAAGTGGGTTATAAAACAAAATTTATGCTTTAGAGTGTAAAATTAAGTCTTATTCCAGCCCCCGAACAATGCAGTCTGAGTGGGGATCTGCGGGGATGGCTTGTCCTGATTTGTTACAATCAAAATAGCTAGCTATGCCAACCACAGACAGTTCTATTTATCTTCTTCTTTCTCTGAAGCAGGCAGTTGTAGGGGTATACCATGTTCTGCCCTTCTCCCTTCTGCCCCTCCCACCTTTCCCAGGAACTTCTGCCTTCTTGATGGCTAATAGTTTTGAAAAGAAGCAACACTTCTTGCAGAGTCCTTTCCCATGAGAAAATACTGGTCTGCTGTGCACAGGATTTCCAGAGTAAATGGCATCTATCCAGCTATCCAAACTAGGCTGAACTGTCTAAAAAAAAAACAAAAATAAAAGCCTAACTCGTTTGCCCATCCTGTTTTCTCTTATTTTCAGTTTGATTCAACAAACTTTTGAAGCCTTTCAGGCTCATCTGTACCAATATTTCTGTTTACACTGTCCTCAAAACTCTTTCAAAATGCATATTTCACATTTTTGTTAAAATATTGTTGTTGATGTTACCACAGTAAAAGGTGATGACTTTTCACTCGTTCCTATAAGCAGATTCTCATTGTGCAAGTTCTTAAACTGAGGTGCAGACAGGTAAGAGAAAGTGACAAAGCAGAAGCCAGAAGTCATTATCTTAAGAAAGAAATAGAATTTAGAAGATTGGCTCAATCTTAAGAATATTTCTGAATTAAAACTTCTTATGACTAGGTAGGTAGTTGGCGTGCTTTTCTTCTGAATGTCCTTAATGCGATTCAAATGGCTTGAGAGATTTTGTGCATCTTGTGAGGGAGTGGCTTCAGTCCAACTTTTATTTAATCTAACATATAGTTCACTGATGGTCAGTATTTCCACAGTTTGTGTAAGATGTGTAGATGGTTTGTGAATTTAACCTTCTTGGCTAGTTCTTTCCGGTAGAGTTTCATGTACTTAAATAATGTGCTTTGTGAGATGCTGCACACGCCAAAATAATACTGTTCTTTTGTCTTCAGAGATATTTACCAACATGGAGATGGGTTTCATGGCAATGACACCAGTGCTTTTGCTTAATGATTTCACCTAAATTTGAAAGGTCCATCACCTTTGTTAGACATCCACAACACACTTCTGCATTTTATTTATTCATAGTTACACACTTCATGTTATCCAGCTTGCACTTGTATCCACTCTTGTTACTTGTTCATGTGGTTAAAGGGACTGTCATTAGGTTCTGAGATTGCTTACCCAAATCTCTCTTCCCTCTGCCTCTACCACATTTCATGGAATCATAGAATACCATGTTGGAAGGGATCTTGAGAATCATCTGGTCCAATCTTTCTTGACAAAAGTACAGTCTAGACAAGATGTCCCAGCACCCTGTCCAGCTGAATCTTAAAAGTGTCCAATACTGGGGAATCTGCCACTTCGCTGGGGAGATTATTCCAATATCTGATTGTTCTCATTGTGAAAAATTTTCCTCTTCTGTCCAACTGGAATCCCCCCTGGGATAACTTGTGCCCATTACTCCTCTTAAAAAGGGGCTCTCCATTTTCTTTATACCATCCTTTAAATACTGGAACAAAGTTGTTATCTTCAATGCAGCTCTTACAATATAAACGGGATGGTAATACTTGTTATGTTTACAGAGCCTTATATTTTGCCAAAGCAAAGCACTGGTAGCTGGGAGTGTCCAGTGTGTTAGTGATGGAGCAGTCTGCTCCAGAAGGCTGCTTTGTTTATTGAGACTTTTTTATACCAAGAATCTCATAAAAGCACTTTATTTAACATTTTTTTGTTGTTGTTCGTTTTAGGATCAGGATCCAGGCTGTCAATGAAATAGGAGCTGGACCATTTAGCCACTTCATTAAAGCAAAAACTAGGCCATTACCACCCTCACCTCCTCGGTTAGAGTGTGCTGCTGCAGGTCCTCAAAGCCTGAAGCTGAAATGGGGAGACAGCAGCTCCAAGCTTCATACTACCGATGATATGGTCTATATCTTGCAGATAGAAGACAGAAATAAAAGGTAAGAGAGATGAATCTTTTCCTTGTGTTAATGAAAATGAGTTCTGATTCATCATAATGCAGTTGTGATTCACAATAAGAAAAATACTGTTTTCCAGACTACTCCATACCTACTAATATATACTAATAAACTAATATTGTCTTAACAGGGATTCTGTGCCTGTAGTCTAACTGAGCAAATTATGTAACAAAGCTCTTGCTATAGAACACCATAAAGCTGTACTGTTGAAATTTTAGCAAAACCCTGCTCCCCCACCAATAAAAATTAATACCAATCTTCATGGTCATAGTACTTCACCCTTTGGAATATGTAAGACAAAGATATTACACCCAACATGCTGTGTGTATTAATAAATCAAACAGTTACAAAATCAGAGGTCTAGGAAAGGCAAAACTAAGCAGAGCAAAATTTTTGGGCAACATGATGGTCAGTATTTTAAAGCTCTAATATTTCTGAGCATTAGGAAATATGAGCTTGGCATCAGCTTGGTAGCTACACAGTAATTATGAAATAAGGATGCAGCAGAGCTCATCCACCATGTTTCATTTCCCTAAAAATTTCTTCAAAGGCATGGAAGCTTTCAGTGTGCAAGAAACACAAAAATGAACATTAATCAGTCAGTGCTAAGCAAAAAGTATTTTCCCATGCAGACTTTGTATGGGAAAGATTTATAATGTAGCTCTAAAGTTGTGATGAGATATATCAATAAAAAAAAGGAATGAAAGACAATATGTGAGTATTGCCTAATGGTCTGAGCTCTTTAATGAATAAATATCATAGAAGGCTTATAATTTACTAAGAAAGAGTCTCAACTAGTTTAATTAATTAAAATAACTGATGTATCAAGTAGGTAATCCTTAGAGACTCTGAGAACAGAGCATGATTTTGTGTGAATTAGCATGATGCCTTTAATTTAAATAAAGGTGCGCTGAGTTTATGCCAACTGAAGATCTGGTCCAAAAGCTCTAATTGTAAGTAATAAATCCATGAATAATGCCTAAATACATCCCCTGTATCTCAGCTATACTGATGCAGAGAGGGTGCATGCTCCTCTGTATTAATACCGAGAGGTGTCCAATGAATATAAATGCCCATTTCAAAGTCTGACTGATAAAAACAGTTTCTTCAGAGTGCGGTGGTGCTTGGCAGGAGCCCATCACCTGCAGCAGCATGTGATCAAGTCAGCTCTAAAGAAACCTCTTTTGTCTGCTTTCGTGTAGCACTGCAGGTAGGATGGTGAAGAACTATAAAATGTTTTAAACCTGTTTTGATGTTGGAGAAAGCAGTAAGTTTCCTTGTAAGAATCAAACGTGTTATGTTTTCTGGCAGCAGAGAAGAAAACCTTTCTCCTTTGCGCTTGCACAGGGCTTTAACATGACCCTTTGCACAAACTTTTCCCACTGCAAATAGTCTCTTAAGAGCTGTTTTTTAGGAGGAATTTGAGCTTTTTACTCTGCTAGGTCTTCTTAGCTTTAAATTTGGCTTAGACACCACATCAGCTGCCACAGGTGCAGAGAAGCTACTCATCTACATTGCACTGTCTCCTCCTTCTTGAATGGAATCCCTGCATGAAATGGCTTCATTTGGTGGCTGGGTTTGTAACAGTTAGTTCAAATAATACCTGAAATGAGCCATAGCCCTGTGCCCCTCAGCTGATGAAACATGGACCCTCATGGGCACAACAGAGTAGAATGGGTGTGCTGCTGCCTGTGACAGGTGCCGTGTTTGAGAACAGTTGGAGCTGGCAGTTCTTGGCAGTAAGTTCTGTTTACTTTGTTCCCTGTCTGACAGTCCCTTTTAGCTCCCTGTTGTGTCCACCAATCACAATGAGAGATGTTCCTAAAAGAATACAGCAGCAAAGTTTTGTACATTCAGGAGAGCTATCATTCCTAATGAACAGAATGACAGCCCACACATGAATTGGTAGCAAAAGCAGTTAGTTACAGAGTTAGGAGTCTTCTCTTAGATCATTCCCATATAATAAGCCCCGTCATCACTGAGGGGTTACTCACTCACGTGTATGCTTGTGAAAAATATTGGAATATGGTTCTTTGAAACTAGCCTCTAGCTAGTTAATTAGCTTTAACAAGCTAATGCAGGTAAACTGTGGACATCTAATGGAATAATTAAATAGAATAGACTATTTCAGTTGGAAGGGACCTACAGTGATGATCTTGGCCAACTGCCTAATTCAGTGGGACCAGAAGTTAAAGGTGTTGTCCAAATGCCTCTTAAACACTGACAGGTTTTGGGCATCAACTATCTCTGTAGGAAGCCAGCTTCTGGTGAACAAATTACACTGACTCAATGATTGAGAAGGCTGTTTTGGAGTCTTTCATGGTTTGAAAGCGTTATGGGAATGTTCCATGGTGTCCCTTCCCTCCATTGAGAGATGAGATAGAGCCCAACTCAGGGGAAGAGGATGTGGCATAAAAATGTATCACTCAAAATTGACCTCTGTTACTGTATTCCCTGAGATATTTGAAATCGCTTTTAACAGCTTTATGGTGAAGTCCCTCAACTCAGTATTACAATTTTCCCTTCTTCAGTACATTTGAGTATGCAGTTTGCTTACTGTAACATTTCTTACTGACGATGCTTAAAATAGGAATTAGCTTTAAAATGCTGTTGAAGCATTTGCACAAACAGCAATATAAAGCTGAGCAAATTCTTTAAAAGACAAAAACAAAAAAGAAAAGAGAAAAAAGAACATCATCAGTAAGTCGAGTTCTGACCCTGATAGCTTTAACAGCCCTTTTCTAAAGATTGAGCTCTGGGTTTATGCAGTGGTAGTCAGCCAGTGCTCTTGAATGTGTCCTGGTCATTAAGAATTGTTTTTAACTTTTCCATGCTGTAATGAGGTGTAACAGGCCAGTAGTTGGAGACTAAATGTTTCATCGATTGCAAGACCTGTGAAACAAAATACTTGGAAATCTCCTGACACTGATTAATGTAGGGGCTTGAAAAGGTGTGAACATCAGAAATGTACCTGCTTTAGCTCTCATTTGCTGTTCAGTGGGTGACATTTAGGAAGATCAAATTAGCATCTCTTGTCCTTTCAATTATGTGTAGCATTAAATGGAAATGAAGAAAAGCCTGTTTCTAGAAAGCACAGTACATGGGAATGTTAGCTGAGAGTAGCTGACCTTTATGTAGAGAGGACTATAAAATTTCTTTCTTTTTTAAATAAGCTATCAGTTGTGACTTCATTTCCTAACTGTAGTAATGTCAAAAAAATCATGTTAATCAAGTTGCACTATTTTCCAGAATACTGTGGATTTTTTCCTCTCCAGGTGAAACAAATGAACCTAATTATAGTAGTGCTTTTGATTTATTTTTTTTTTTTGGCTGTGCCAGTAATTACTCTTTAATTGTTCCTACAACTAATTATACCTCTTTAGTGTCTTAAAATGCTTATTGCTATCCAGTCTCAAAGAGAGAATTAGCAAGTACATTATTAGTGGGTCATTTACCAGTTGCCTGTGTTTCTTTTAGATGAATATGTGTTGCAGCTAAGATGAATTCTGTGATTTTTGCGTGTATACGGAATCCAAATAAAAGTTATGTTTTAAGGGAGAATCATTGGTAAGGTTGGCTAAGAAGCAACCTAAACCTGTTCTTTAATGATACCAATGGATGAATTGACAGTTCTGAAGCTCGCTTTTTTAAGTGAATGGTATGAGATGGTGTTTACTGACATACTAAAATATAACTCCTTTTGTTACGTATATTTATTAAATAAGTGAGTTTTTACCCAGTGATAGGAGGTGATCAGTAGCAGCTCCCTTTCATAACTTACGAAACATCATTTATGTGGGTATTAAGCTGCTGGAAAATACTTTGCTAAACTGTATGTGTTTGCCATTTAATATAAATGAAAAATCAGTCACAAAATATAACTTCTCTATTAATATTAGTAAAGTCATTGTGCACACACTGTTTTTCTGGTTAATATAAGAATGTCGCAAAGGCCATAGCCATACTTCAGTGTAGTCGTGGAAACTTTAGTGACTCCAAGGAAGGAATAACATTTGTTTCACAGCATGACACAATCCTAAGGGTTGGAAGGGACCTCAAAAGATCATCTAGTCCAACCCTCCTGCAAGAGCAGGATAACTTAGAGTACATCACACAGGAACTTGTCCAGGTGGGCCTTGAATATCTCCAACATAGGAGACTCCACAACCCCCCTGGGCAACCTGTTCCAGTGCTCTGTCACTCTCACAGTAAAGAAATTTTTCCTGATGTTCACATGGAACCTCCTATGCTCCAGTTTACACCCCTTGCCCCTTGTCCTATCACTGGACATCACTGAAAAAAACCTAGCTCCATCATCCTGACACTCACCCTTTACATATTTGTAAACATTGATGAGGTCACCCCTCAGTCTCCTCTTCTCCAAGCTAAAGAGTCCCAGCTCCCTCAGCCTCTCCTCTTAAGGGAGATGCTCCACTCCCTTAATCATCTTTGTGGCTCTGCACTGGACTCTTTCAAGCAATTCCCTGTCCTTCTTGAACTGAGGGGCCCAGAGCTGGACACAATAATCCAGATGCAGCCTCACCAAGGCAGAGTAGAGGGGGAGGAGAACCTCTCTTGACCTACTAACCACACCCTTTGTAATGCACCCTAGGATGCCATTGGCCTTCTTGGCCACAAGGGCACATTGCTGGCTCATGGTCATCGTCCTATCCACCAGGACCCCCGGGTCCCTTTCCCCTTCATTACTGTCCAGCAGGTCAGCCCCCAACCTGTACTGGCACATGGGGTTGTTCTTCCCCAGATGCAAGACTCTACACTTGCCCTTGTTGAATTTCATCAAGCTCCTCTCCGCCCAGCTCTCCAGCCTGTCAAGGTCTCACTGAATGGCAACACAGCCCTCTGGTGTGTCAGCCACTCCTCCCAGTTTAGTATCATCAGCGAACTTGCTGAGGGTACATTCAGTTCCCTCATCCAGGTCATTGATGAAAATATTAAACAGCACTGGTCCCAGCACCGACCCC